CTCTCGGGCTGGTGAGTGCTGGTTGGCACCGATCCTCTGTGCGGAAATCTCTCCACTTTGTCCTCTGCACCCCCGTGGCTGTGCTCTCCTCCACGGCTCTGAAGCTTCCCCCCTCTGCCACCCACAGTCTCCGCCCACGAAGGGACTTCTAGTGTGTGGAAACTTTTCCTCCTTCACGGCTCCCTCCCACTGGTGCAGGTCCTGTCCCTATTCTTTTGCCTCTGTTTATTCTTTTTTCTTTTGCCGTACTCAGGTACGTGGGGAGTTTCTTGCCTTTTGGGAGGTCTGAGGTCTTCTGCCAGCGTTCAGTAGGTGTTCTGTAGGAGCTGTTCCACGTGTAGATGTATTTCTGATGTATCTGTGGAGAGGAAGGTGATCTCCGCGTGTTACTCTTCCGCCATCTTTCCCCGGCCCGCCATCCCCACAACTGTCGCAGCTTTGGCCGCTGGGGCCCCTCCAGATCCGGCAGCCTCAGTGAGGCCGCCCTCCCCTCGGGCTCCGGGGCAGTTCTGTGATGGCGGAGGAAAGAGACCCCAAGCTGCGAGTTCCAGCTGTGCCCTACCTTGTTTTATGAGGCCAGCATTACCCTGATATCAAAGCCAAAGACATCACAAGTATGTATGTATATTCCTAGTAGATACGAAAAATCTTCAACACAATTCTAGGAAACTGAATCCAGCAACATATTAGAAGGATTATACACTATGAACTAATGGGATTTATCCCAGGAATGCAAAGATGATCCAATGAACAATAGCAAACAATATAATACACCACAGTAATAGCATGAAGGAAAAAAACATGTGATGGTGTCAATTGACACAGAAAAAGCGTTTAACAGATCCCAACACCTTTTCATGATAAAAACATTCAACAACCTAGGAATATAAGGAAACCACCTCAATATGATAAAGGATATTTATGAAAAACCCACAGCTAACATCATTCTCAATGGTGAAAGAGTGATAAAAAACAAGACAAAGATACCTGCTTTTGCCACTTTTAGGCAACGCTGTACTGGAAGCTCTAGCCATAGCAATCAGGCAATAAAAAGAAATAAAAGGTATCCAAATTGGAATGGAAGAACTATCACTATTCACAGGTGACATGACCTTATATATAGAAATCCAAAAAAATCCACAAAAAAAACTAATAGTGCTAATAAATGAATTCAACAATGGTGCAGGATACAAGATCAACACACAAAAATCAACTGTATTTCCATACATTGGGTACTGAACAAGTCAAAAAATCCAAGAAATAACTGCATCTAAAATTGCATCAAGGAGAATAAAATACTTAAAGATGAAATTTAACCAAGACCTGTAAAGTAAAAACTATGAAATACTGTTGAAGAAATTAATGAATACTTAATTATATTAAAAGATATCGCATGTTCACAGATGGAAGACTTGATTTTGTTACAACAGAAATACTCCACAAAGTGATGTGATATACAGCTTCAATGCAATCGCTATCAAAATGCCAATGGTATTTTTTAGAAATGGAAAAGTGAGGCATCAAATCTGCATGGAATTACAAGGAACCTTGAACAGCTAAAACAACATGGAAAAAAATTTGAAGGTAAACTGAAGGACTCACACCTCCTGATTTCAAAACTTACCATAAAAGCTACAGTAATCAAAACAGTTACTGGCATAAGGACAGACGTACAAATCAATGGAACAGAATGTAAGAATCCAGAAATAAACTCACACATGGATGGTCAACTCATATTCACCAAGGGTGTCAAGACCATTCAATGAGGAAAGAACAGTCTCTTCAACCAATCATGCTGGAACAAGTGGATGTCCACATATACCTCATGTCATATAAAAAAAATAGCTCTAGATGGATCAAAAATACAAATATAAGAGATAAAACTATAAAACTCTTATTAGAAGAAAACAAAAGGGTTTCATGACCCTAGATTTGGCAATGGTTTCTTACAAATGACACCAAAAATATAAGCAACAAACGAAAAATATAGATAAATTGGACTTCATCAAAATTAAACTCTGTGAATCAAGGAAATTATCAAGAGTGAAAAGGCAACCCAGAGAATGCAAAAAATATTTTAAAATCATATACCTGACAAGAATCTATCCAGAATATATGAAGAATTCTTATAACTCAACAACAAAAAGACAAATAACTGAATGTAAAAATATGCAAAGGAGTTAGATATTTCTCCAAAGAAGATACACAAATAGCCAACAAATGTATGAAAAGATGTTCAGTGTCATTAGGAAATGCAAATCAAAGCAAAATGAGATACCACCTCACATCCACTAGGATGGCTTAAATCAAAATAACAGACAAATGTTGGTGACAAAGTGGAGAAACTGGAACCCTCACACACTGCTGGTGGAAATGTAGAATGGTGCAGCTACTGTGAAAAAGTTTGGTGGTTCCTAAAAAGTTAAAGATAGCGTTACTACATTACCCAGAAATTCCACCGGTAGGTAATACGTAAAAAGAATTGAAAACTGGTGTTCAAACAAAAACTTGTACACGAACATTCATAGGAGTACTATTCACAGTAGTCAAAAGGTGGGAATAATCGAAATGACCATCAACTGACGAATGTACCACAAAATGTGGTACATCCATACAATGGAATATTATTTAGCTATAAGAAGAACAAAGTATTGATACATGCTACCATATGAATGAACCCTGAAAACCATATGGTAAGTGAAAGAAGCCAGACACAAAAGGTCACACACTATAATGATTTCATTTATATGAAATATCCAGAATAGGTAAATACATAAAGACAGAAAGAAGATTAGTGGTTTCCAAGGACTGAGGCACTGGAAGAAGGGGATGTGACTGCTTAATGGGTATTGGGGTTTTGTCTGGGGTGATAAAAAGTTCTAGAACTAGATAGTGGTTATGATTGCAAAACACTATGAATGTACTTACTGGCAGTAAATTGTATACTTTAAAATGGCAAATTTTATACTGTGTACATTTTATCACACACACAAAAAATATGTTCTAAAGGTTTTCCTATAAACAGTCTTTGAAGCCTCCTAAAACCATAACTCATTTAGAAATAAATTAGTTACACTGATTTTCTATATCAGGGGTTGACAACCTTTTTCAGTAAATACTTTTGGCTTCACAGGCCTTTCTCTGTTGCAACTATGAACTCTGCTGATGTAGCATGAAAGCAACTATAGACATTAAGTAAGCAAACTGATGTGGCTGTGTTCCAATAAAATTTAATTTTCAAAAACAGGGGACAGGCCAAATTTGGCCTGAAGACTGTAGTTGGCCAAGCTGTGATGTATACTATTTTTCTTCACTTGTATTAATGGGATTATTAGGAGAAATTGCAAATCTTTTCTTGTCCAGATTTGCTGTATTATAAATTAAAGTTGAATTAAATTAAAACAACAAAGCTATATCAGTATAGAAAGTCCATAGACGCAAAAGGCTTATATTTACTGAGAATAAAACAAATTGAAACTCCCCAAGGCAGAATTGATAAAACCATATTATATTAATAGAAATTTTATGTATACTTAAGCATTAGCTAAATGTGAATTTTAGTGTGAACTACAGATTATCCATTATCTTTTTTAAGTTAATACCATTTTTCCTTTTGACCAACTACAGTGAGAACATCTGGCAGCTAACTTGACATTACTTCCTTTTTATGACCTTTCTCAATTTTTTAATGAACCTTTGAAACTTTCTAAACCTACTCTTTTTCTGAAATTTATTATGTTTATAACCAGGACTACATAGCTGGGTACTAATTGTTTGTCATTAGTTTTTTTTAGTTTGGTTTCTTTAGTCATAATTAAAAGCTCCTTAGAACATTTAAAGGGATTAGAACTAATAAACACTTACTTACTGTTTCATAAACCATTACCAACTTGAGATATTAACAAATAATAAAATGACCTAGAGACAGAGAGCAAAAGTGAAAAGAGAAAGTGCTCACAGTTAATCTACAAACCATATAATCAGGCCAAAAAAGTCTCAAATTGAAAATTTAAGAGATGTTTTTAATAGTATGAACTTCAAAATAACTCTGATATTGAACCCTGAATCAGTGTTTTCCTTCATGGCTCAGCTAAATTCTCAAATACCATAAAGCTTAACTCTGGATAAGCCCAAAGTAAATGAAATCACAAGTGGTTCAGTGGCCTCCACATAGTAGGTACTCAATGTTAGTTGAGTGAAATGATGCTGAGAAATCCATTTTGTCCATGGAAAGTTACGCTCTCTAAAATAATAAAATATTTTTTTACAAAATCATATCTAAAAATTTATTCTTCCTATCCAATTTCTCAGCTTGGAAAGGACGGAGAATGGGCTAGAAATGATAAGAGTAAAATTTTCCCTTTCAATTAGTTTTTCCTTTTTCACTATTTATCACTGGCATTTAGCCTAAATAAAAATCCTCTTAGTAAATGATAACCAACATAGATAAAGAAACCTATCTTTCAAATAATTTTATGTCATTTCTGTAAAGAACCTTACATTATAGGGTAATTTCTTTTTTAAAAAAAGTATAAGGTATTTGAAAAAGAAACCACTAGCTAAGTCATTTTAAGTAAAATTCTAATTCTGAAAGAAAACTCTTTGTTCTCTGAACATTTCAAAATCAAATATGAAAACCTGACACCCTCAATACATCATCTGTTCATGTATTAAATACTCCCTGCTTTAGCAACTTTTATTGTATTAAAAACTACTACTTATCCTTGCTTTGTAGAATAATTATATTAGCAGAGTAAGCATCAAGTAAGCAAGGACCACTGTGAAGTGTGGCGTAAGAGAACATAAAAGACAGATATGATACAATTGGAAAATTTTTGTTGTTAGTTTTACGGACTTTCAAGCTATTTCAGGCTTGGATAAACATAAGCGAAATTTAAAAGTATCACTGAAGAACTTAATTGTGTATGTAGTAATATAGTATACAAAACAGTCTGCTTTTCCCAAAGTAGTATTTAATCATGATAACTTAAAGTACTTACTCTAAAAGAGGTGGAAGTATTTCACAATTCAAAACAAAATCTCTGCATTCTGCATTGTCACCAGCAATATTACCAAGTGCCCAAACAGCCTTAGAAAAATAAGAAAAAAAGATTCTTTTATGACAATATCTTAAATAAGATACTCTCTCTTAAGAATGAGATTTTAGTGTAGAAGGAAAAAAGTGATAGTTTTCAAGATGTTAAAACAAAACATGCTAGTAGGAAACAAGAAAGGAAAACTTTAAAAGTACCTTTAATAATATTTTTAGTCAAATTGAAGCATAGGGCATTTAAAAACTTTTTCTTACATGCTAGTGAAATGTTTATTCTGTTCAACAAAGAGATAGTTTGTCTACTCTGAATCTACATGGAGAGACAAAATAGAGTTGACCCTTGAACAATGAGGGGGTGAGGGGCACCAAGCCCTGCACAGTCGAGAATCCATGTATAACTTTGCAGTTGGCCCTCCTTATCCAAGGTCCTGCATTTGCAGATTCAACCAACCTCAGACTGCATAGTACTGTAGTATGTATTTATTACAAAAAATCCATGTGTAAGTGAACCGCACAGTTCAAACCTGTTGTTGTTCAAGGGTCAACTGTATATCTACATTTAGTGAATCTTCCAATTACCTATGCTAGAGGTTTGCTCCTATGCCAAGGAATCCACTCACTGGGAAGGGACTGACTTGTAAAAGAAAAAAGGAAGGACAGACAAAGCATAGGAAAAGAAGGTAAAGCTAATGTGAGAATTGGCTTGAATTGATGCTTGAAAATAAGTTTAGAGTTAGTCCAGCTTAAATAAATGGTAGTAAAAGATTATTCAAATATTAAATTTCAATTAGATGAGAAATTACACAGATGCAAATGATCATTATGTTCTCATTTCAAGCTTTTCATATAAGTATAAAAGTAGACATTAAGTTACTTTTTCAATTGGGAAAATTTTATTTTAACATCTAAAATATGCGTTAATATTTTTAACATCTACTCTAGACCTACGCTTATTGCCTATTTTTTTAAGAAAAATTTTTTCAAGTGATGACATTTTGCAACCTGTGAAGTATTTTGTTGGTGGGGATATAAATTTGTTAACATTTTTGGAAGTCTACTTTGAAATATGTAATAAGAACTTTAAAATTTGTTCTTTGACTGAGTAAAGTCATTTTTCCCTAATGAAATAATCAAGGTACACATATATGTCAAGTCATATTAATATCAAGACCGATATACAATGATGTTCATCACAATATTATTAACACTAATAAGCTAGAAATAACTCAAATGTACTACTATTGAGGAACAGATAAATTATGGTACCTACCTGAATGGATAATGAGCAATCAGTAAAATTTTCTTGGAAGAATAATTAATGCTGTATGCAAAGGCTCTCAATACTAGTGTTAAGTGGGAAAAAAATATACACATAAAAATATAAATATAAACAAACAGATGGAATGGTAGAGAGATCTACAGATCAATTTGCATGAAAATGATCCAAAACGAAAATATAAAAACATTTGACTTTCTCTGGATGGAACAAATTATATGTGATTAAATTTTCCCTGTTACAACAACTATGAGAAAGTTTAATCTAAAATGGTTCATTCAAAATAATGTGATATATTAAAAAGAAACAATGAAATAATCTACATACATGCAAAGAACAAGGAATCAGACTGGCCCAGGTTTAAAACCTGGTTCAGCCATTCACTGTGACTTCGGGTAGATTACTAACTTTTCTGGGTCTCGCTCAGTATGCTCTTTTATAAATGGGAATAGTAATTCCCAATAGCTGAGATCCCATGTTTACATAACCCAGGATTATGCCTAAGACAGTTCATTCTTCCTTCCTTCTAATTTGACAGTAAATAGAAATTATTGTATTCTAATAAATGTAAAACACAGGCAACTTGGTAAAACTGAATTTCAAACCATAATCGCAAATGGTACTTTCAAGAGAAAGTTAAAATCTAGTAGATATAATAGGTCAAATTAGAAACTTACCTGTTCTTGAACATCTTCATGCTCTGAATTAAGAAGTTTGATAAAAATTGGAACAGCCCCAGTTTCAATCACTACTTTGGTATGTAGAAAAGTTCCAGATGCTATATTAGTTAATGCCCATGCAGCTTCAAACTAAGGAAAAATAAAAGTAGAATAAATGAAAGCACCCAAAAAATGTCAGAAAGGGGAAGAAAGGAAGAAGAGAGGGAGTAAAGACTTAGCTGAACAAGTCGGAGAGAAAGACTGACTTACGATTAATAAGATTTAATGTGAAATCAGATTTGATAGGTAAGAATGCTTTATTTTAAAAAAAGGACTCTTCAATCTGGAAAAATAAGAACTGAGAAGAATATAATAAAATTTACAAATCATGAGCAATAAATGAACACATTTGAATTTATAATTCATAAAACTCCTTATGTTTACAATTAGGGAGCCAGGTATTCTAAAGCAAGCAGTGCAAAAATAAATGAGACACTACTTAATAGAGTAATAGTATACCTATGGAACTTAGAATCATAAAAGGTATTTTTGTTTCCCTAGGCATCATCTAGTCCTAACCTCCTCACTTAAGAAATAAGAAAATTATAAGTCCAGACATTTAGGTGATTTGTTCAAGGTCAAAGAGTTCATTATTAGCAGATATCTTTTAAAACATGTGCAGGCCAAAGAAAATTTGTTTGTGGGCCAATCTGGCATGTAGGCCCCCAGTTTGAGGCCTCTCTATTAGATCAATGTTTCGAACTAGCATATTTCACATGAACTTGGATAATATGGCACAGCATATAGCTGCCCCAAGAGCATACTGCTGAATTTCATTAGGTTTCAAGTATAATGATTAATAAACACTCAAATCACCAATATTCTTCTTGAATACTGCATGCTCTCTGCACATGTTATTCTCACAACCTGAAATTAATTTTCCTTTTTGCAGCCTGTTAAACTCTCATTCACCCTCAAGACTAGCCATGCAACACTACTAAACCAAAAACACCCCAGATAAGTTGCCATGTTCTCTGTGCTCCCAGAGCACTCTGTATATTGTTTTGCTAGCACTAACTGTACTATGGTATCACAGATCTGTTTGTGTGTTTGTCTCCCCCAACAGAGTGAAGAATTTTTGCAGAGAGGGACAATATCTTACTCAATTTTTTAACTACAATGCCTTATACAATGTATTGCTTAAACTAACACTCAATTTTATTCATTCATATTCACTCATTTCTTCTTTCAATCACTTAGAATTAAAGAGCCAAATAAAAAACTTGTTATCAGGAGGTTTAGGTTTTAGTCTGGACTCAGAGCTTATGAATAAGGCAAATGGACTAGATCATGATCTCCCGTCCTTTCAGCACTATCACCTAAAGACTCTGAACACTAATTGACAATAAGACTATACTATGGATAAAAGGGTCTTTTCCTCAGACACCCTTGTTGTAAACATTCTCAACAATTTTTCAGCATAAAGCTCATGATGGTTAATAGTCACAGGTTCAACACATTCCTTTGCTTACACCTAGATGTGAGGACCTTTCCCAAATTACTCAGATAAGTGGAACACAATTCTAAGTTGTAATTTCAACAACTATTACTCAAATATTAGTAACAGTCCTCCATGACCAACAAGAGCATTGAGAAATTAGGTGTAGGTCTTGTGCAATTCCTAATAGATATAATTCCACCCTGTACACTTACTTAAGAATATTTACAGCAATGAAAGTCAGGAAGAACAATCTTAAACAGTAAAATACCTGCAAACTTCAGTAATTTACTATTAGTAGCCAATTATTTGGAAGACATCTTAAAATTTTCACTAGAGTATAACTGAGAAGCAATGCTCTTTAGGACAAACTTAACGTTGGTCACATTTTAAGTAGATTATACTGATTCGTTCTTTTTTCAAAAAAGGAACTAATCAATCAGATAAAAATGTTTTAAGAGGTACAAGAGTTTATACTAAAAAGTTACAACTTTAGTTAGCTAAGAGCCAAAAAAAATTTAACCATTAAATTAACATTTTGATTTATGGTTTTCTAAAACAAAAGTTATTAAAGGTTGACAACTACAAAATTTTTCTTAACATTAGGAATGATTTTATATATTTTTCCCAAAATTGTTTAATTAAATAACAGTTCCTAGAAAAAATTAGCATTGCAACCTTGACCAAGGCAAGACAGGTAGCACCACCTTTAATTGCCAAGTATTTACTGAATGCTTACAATATACTCAGTACTGTAGAAGCTGCTTTCACTAGACACATTAATCCTATGTCATTTCTGGAAAAAGATTAAGAAAGTAAATTACAGAACTCACTTGTAATGTACAATTTTCGTTTCTTTCAAGAAATTTCACAAATCTCTGCACAACTCCTGGTTTCTGTATAACTTGATCAATTGGTGGATTAGGTTCTGAAAATTAAAAAATAATTAAGTTATTACATAGACACAAAAACACAATGATCTGGACCCTATGCCAATTAACAGGGCACATAAAATAACTCTTTCCTAGGTTTCACTGATCCAGTTTAAAACCCTTAGCTGGATGTAGCTGAAGAAAATAAACGTTCTCATAATTGCAATGTTTACTGCAAAAAAAAAAAAAAAAAAGCAAATTGTTTTTCACTACCATAATGATAAGAAAATTTTAAAATATTTCCTATACAAATATTTATAATTCATAAATTGAATGCTATTTAGGAGGTCACCTTCACAATATGGGAATATTTCAGTCCAATACTCAAAATACCAATCGAAGGATAAAGTGTCTTCTAATTCTTCATAACCATACTCCAATTTCCAGGGATGTCTCTATCACTATCAACCACGAATTGCCTAATGTCTTTCAGCTAGATAGGTTCTATTTTGTCAGGGTATTATTTATTATTTACAAAAATGCTATTGAAGTACCTAGAATTCTTGATAAATTCTCATGAAATGCTGAGGACTTTTGAGAATCACAAAATCTCTAAGAAATTTTAAAACAAAGATATGTAAATTGAAAACAAAGATATTTCTGGGACTTCCCTGGCGGTCCAGAGGTTAAGACTCTGCACTTCCAATGCAGGGGGCGCGGGTTCAATCCCTGGTTGGGGAACTAAGATCCCACATGCCGCGGGGCACAGCCAAAACAAAACAAAGATATTTCAGCTCCCAATAATATAAGTACCAAGAATTCTTCCTCCTCCCTTGGCTTCAGCAACAAATACACTCTTGTGGTTCTCCAGGAACTTCTTCACTGTTGTTCCTTCGGGTTAGTTTGCTCCGTTATTTATTCTCCTCCTAAAAAATTTATTTCTAGGAAATCCCCTCCTAGAAAATCTATTTCTATTTTATTTCTATTTTGCTAATTCAGTTATCACTTATCATTCACAAATCTAACCCCCGTAAATTCTTCTTTCCTAGATTCTGTCCCACATTTTTAAGTGCTTATGGTTACATTTTTCCCCCACAGCTTCTTTAAAATGTAGCATAAACAAAACCAAACTCATAATATCACTATGCTTATTCCTTCCCCTTGCCCTGTGCCCACCACACAAATTTGTCTGAGCTATCTGTCCACCTGGTTACACGAGAGAAATCTCATTTCCACTTTTGACTCTTCCTTTTCTTAATTCCTGTTTGAGTATGTTACTGATCATAAATAATGTTTAATAAGTAGAATTAACAAATGAATGATAACCATAAAAGGTCTACAAATCCTGCTTGTTTGATACAGAAAAACCTTATTATTAAGTTTTAAGTCAGTTTAAATCTTAGAAATCGTGTTCTCAACTGTTAAGAAAGATTTATTTAGGAATGGACTTCTTGGTAATTCCCTGGCGGTCCAGTGGTTAGGACTCCACGCTTCCGCTGCAGTCCGCACGGGCTCCATTCCTGGTCGGGGAACTAAGATCCCACAAGCTGCATGGTGTGGCAAAAAAAAAAAAAGGAATGGACTTTTTTCTTCCTTTTCTTCTTTTTTCTACAAATCTGCTATCTTTCTAACTTGCTCAAAAATTGGGAGATTTCTGAAAAATTAGTAAAGTTAAAACTATAAAATTTTGTTTGGGTGTTCTAAATGAAAAGTCTGGATTCTTCAAAATGTAAATTCCAGACCATAGCTTAAACTGTTCTTATAGTTATAAAACATCAACAAGATAAAATAATATATATTATTAACGCCTTTATTCCCATCTTAAAAAAAATCAAAACAAAGTTATTAGGTTGTGGTTACCATCTTTACCTTCCAGTTCTTTCTCTTTTCCCAAAAGAAAATTCTAAATCTACTTTCCCCTTATTTTTGTAAAGGACAAAATTTTGTCTTGCTCTTTTTGAGCAGAGAAGAAAGGGGAGGTTGAGAAAAGGAAGTAAACATAGAAAATTGGTTTTCTAGTTAGAGGGTGGGGAGAAGTGGGTATTGAGACTACCTGAATATGTAGATAAAGAAATATAGACAAAGATATATATATAGATTTAAGAACCCAAATATGATCTCTTCCTGGGGAATTACTTTACAGTTACTTTCATCTAAAAGAAAGCAATTAAAGTGTGCTTGGATCATCAAGTAATCTAAAAAGTATCATGAACTTTTAACTTTTACATTGATATTATACTGACAGAATAATAGCCTACCTTATCTTATAAAGGTGATGAACTATTACAGAGAAGACTTAGTCAATATGGCAATGTAAACATAAGTAAAATAGAGGAATATCTGCTTCAGCACTGAAGACTAATCAAGAGTCATCCACAACAAAAAAGCCTTGGAGAAACAAAACTGGGATTGAAGAAAAGAATAATTTGTGATTTACATCTATAAGAGTGGCCATGATAGGGAAGTAAATAACAGATTCTAGCAAAAGGTCACTATCATGACTTAAATCAGAGGAGTTCTATTTCTATTTCTAGCTCCAGTTCTAGTTCTAGCTCCTTCCCCATATTTCCTACAGTGATGGATCAAGGAAAATTATAGTAAATCTAATATTCTTCTAGACCTAAAATATTTGGCAGGAACTCACATCAATCAGCAAAAGAAAGTATCTATAATTCCTAACATATGCCCAACCTGGGCAAGCATAATCCCACTACAAGAAACAGAAAAATCATTGAATCTATGAAAAAGATGCTATATTTTAAAAGACACAGAACACCCTGAGGAATTAGGAATGAAGATAAAATCTTATGACTAAAGAATTCAATAATGGGGAAGTTGTGGTGTAAAAACTGGTGGCAAACTCTAACATTCTTAAATACAATTAAATCTAAATTAATTCTGTTAATTGGTTATAACATAATACATAGGCCAAAAAGAAATCTTTTTTTTTTTTTTTTTGTGGTACGCGGGCCTCTCACTGCTGTGGCCTCTCCCGTTGCGGAGCACAGGCTCCGGACGCGCAGGCCCAGCGGCCACGGCCCACGGACCCAGCCGCTCCGCGGCACGTGGGATCCTCCCGGACCGGGGCACGAACCCGCGTCCCCTGCGTCGGCAGGCGGACTCTCAACCACTGCGCCACCAGGGAAGCCCCAAAAAGAAATCTTAAAAGAGAATATGGTAATATAAAAATTAATGATGTGTTACTATTAATACATTTAACTTATTTTTTAAATTAATGTTTTAATTTATAAACATTAATCTGACTAAAAAAAATCCAAATTAAAAAACAAAAACTGTGGAATATGGTGAGGAAGAGGAAGCTACTCTTGATTTTATAGGGTCTCCTAACATTGCTAAGCTACTTTTGCTTGGAAGATAAGGGACGGAAAAGGAAAATTAAAGGTACTTATGAAAAAGAACTACAATAAGAAAGCAAAGGTAATAGCCTGTAATCTGTGCTGAACTGAACACAAGATTTCTTTTATTCCTCGTACGTTACTAAATTTTGTCTTTCAGGAAGATACAGCAGCTAGCCAAGGGCAATTTCAAAATCTTATCAGTTCATTTATACAGCTCAATATAATTAGAATTACTAATCCTATAAATTCCATGTATGAAAGATGAGATAGACTAAGGGTTAAATTTTTATTTAATAAGGAATTTTTATAAACTCAATATAATATTGGATAAATAACAAATAGGCAAATTATAAATTATAATGGTCAATAATAAAAAATATTCAACTTAGGTGCTCAAAAACTGCCACACTATAAGCACTATTATATAACCATCTTTTTTTTTTTTTTAAAGATAGCTGTGTTGGTAAGAATATAGTGAAATGAATATCTGCACAAACTAAAGATGGGAATGTAAATTAATACACTGTTTATTCCCTTTGACCCACGATTTCACTTTTATAAATTCATATTAAGGAAGCTTTAGGTTATACAAGGATTTATGTAGCTTTGCTTATGATAATCAAAATTTGGTGAATCACTTTGCTATATACCTGAAATTAACACAACATCGTAAATCAACTATACCCCAATATAAAATACAAATTAAATTTTTAAAAGTTCGGAAAAAAATATCTGATTGATTGATTATTCATTTTATAGTCATGCTCTGATGTTAAAAAAATGTCTGAGGGCTTCCCTGATGGCACAGTGGTTAAGAATCCACCTGCCAATGCAGGGGACATGGGTTCAAACCCTGGCCCGGGAAAATTCCACATACCACGGAGTAACTAAGCCCGTGCGCCACAACTACTGAAGCCCACTGACCGAGAGCCTGTGCTCCACAACAAGAGAAGCCACCACAGTGAGAAGCCCACACACCACAACGAAGAGTAGCCCCCTGCTCGCTGCAACCCAACACAGCCGAAAATAAATTAATTAATTAAAAAAAAAACAACTGATTTTGACCACAGATGTATGGGTTTATTTCTAGACTTTCAATTTAAAAAAATAAATAAAATAAAAATTTTTTAAAGTCTGAAAAATACTTCTACAAGAATTTAAAAATATGTATTTCTAACTTTATTTCTTGACAATGGGACTAATTTGGGACTATATTTGCTTCTTTAAATCCTTTTATATTTACAGATATTCTACAATCAACATGCGTTACTTTGATAATATAATGTTTAAAAAAGAGATGTTATTTAAAAATATATTTTAGAGAAAAATTAAGACCTACTGGCAAAGAAAGTGCCCTGAAATAAAAAAATATAATAAATAAAACTGTACTACAAATTCTTGTAAGATCAAATAAGCATACTGAAAATAATTCTTGCCTTTAGAAAGCAGCTTTCTAAATTTCTGTGTTGCTGTTAGTTGTTGATCAGCATTATTAGAAAAAATCATCTGAACCATATCTGTGGTAATAACTTCTTCCTAAAACACAGAAAATACAATTGTTATTTAAATATTTTACATTAGTAATTTTGCTGTATCATCTCTGTAATACTGTTGAAACATAATTTGAAATACATTTTTGTAATATCTACCTCTGGAATGGGTACAGTGGAACTGATATCCGGATCCTGGATAGGATTTTCTAACATAGATTCATCATTTCTGGGCAAAGAGACATTTCGGCGTTTGAATAACTGTAATAAAGAGAAATAACAATATATTGAGCTTTCCATAAAATAAATTCCCATAGAATTATATTTTTCCTTTACTGAACAAAACAATAATTTTATCATTCAAAATTCTGAATATTTTAGTATTTCTTAATCATCATACCATAACAAATTTATGAGTAGTTTTGGGGCTAAATTAGCTCTTGTCCTGTAGTCTGCTTCTTAATCTCAGGTCTTTTACCAATGTCTAGTAGCATAAGCAGAGTACACATTTATATTTTACAGCACTTGGAAAACCACATATGCTTATACTAAATTATGAGATGTCTAAGAAGAAAATCTTAGTTAAAAAGCATATCTGTTATATGAGTGAGATAATGTGGTATATTAACAGAGTTAATACATTAGATTAACAAGGAATAGAGAGCAGCTCTCAGGAAAGAGGACCCTATGCTTATTAACTCAGGAGTGAATATAAAGAAAAAAAACAGAGGAGGAAAGAGACATGGTCAGGTCACTGAGAAAGATTTATAGGTACATCTCATAAATCAAAATTGACGAAAAAAATCTGGTATCACATACTTTTTGATAGCTAAATAAATTCTGCTGTTCCTCAGTCTGTACACAGTTCTCTTTCTATTCATTTATTCAAGAGATTTTTTTTTTTTTGAGTACCTACTGTAATATAGTAGAGACTATGTTAGCTACTACAAATAGGGGAACGACAAATAGTCATATTTCCAAAACAGGCCTTTTTCTACTTTCTTCATTGCTAGTCCTTTTTACACATTAGTTTTAATTCATGTATGTGAGGACCATACCCTCCTAATTATTTATGAATACTCCTAAATTTAGGTATATCTTGGAATGAAAAATGTTGAGATGCATTCTTTTAATTTTTCTATTCCTTATGTCACATATATAAAGTTCAAACAGAGAAGGTTAAGAGGTCTGCCTGATAGACTATAGGAGGAACAGTATGAATAGCATAGGAAAACGATTATAATTAATTTAGGGGCAAGAGCTATGAAAATCATAGCAACAAATGAATACAATTAACATTTTTTTAGGGGGCAAATTTTACAATGACAAGTGGAAGTGATCTAAATAGGCTCAAGAGTAAAAATTTCTTAGCACTGGAGCAGAAATATTAATGTAAAAGGTTTATCAATGGAAAGGAGAAGCCATTCTTGTTGGTGATTAAAAATAGCACAGGATTCTGATTCGTGAATTTGCTAATATTATTACTGGAGCCTAATAAACTAAAATATATATTTACCCATATTCAATTTCCTAAAACATTTTTTTCATTTAAAATTATCTAAAAATTAGCAGCAATAATAATACTACTTCTAAACTCTTTCTATAATGTTTTTATGTTAACAGAATTAAATATTTTAAAACACCTACCTGTTCTTCCCTTTTTTGTTTTCGAAGTTGTATTCCTTCTTCTTCTCTTCGTCTACGCATCTCTTGGGGATTTAGGGCTTTATTCTTGTAACTTTTCATTCTATAGTTATCTTTCCCTGGACTAGCCATGGCATCTTAAGATTAGGAGAGAAGAAAACAGATACTGATAACTCTCAAAACAACACAAGATGTTTACTCTAGGGCAATTAAATTCAGGCTCATGGATTAAATAGACCAACAAAACCCATTCTGAAAATTATGTACAAAGAATACATTTCTTCACCGCCATATCAAAATTGGAGCAAAATGACCAAATATTTTAGAACTTAACTATCAAATAATAGATTTTGGTCTAAACACAAAGTCATTACCCTAATTCCACTGATTCTGAGATGCACTCCCCCATCCCTGGTATTTTAAACTTTCTGTAAGTGAGATGCATCTTAAAATTACTGTCAGCCAGGGACTAATCATGAAATAGTTGGGTAAAAAACTTCTAAATTACAGCTTATGGAAAGATCAAGAAATAACCAGCAATGAATTGTCTTATTTTCAATAAAATATGGTATCAGGCTTCAGTAAGCACACCTCACATATTTATTGGGGTCTGTCTTCTTTCATTTACTTAAGGCACTGCCTAAAGAACTAAAGCCACACAGGTCATGACCTGAGTTATGACTGCCTTACCAGTTTTCAGTACTAGAGTATAATTAGTTCTTTTAAAATACTGAAATACTTCTACTTTATTTTTAAGTAGTTTTATTATAAATTTTTTTAAAAATAAATTTATATAAACATTTTAATAAGTATATTAAAATATGTACTTTATATAAATATAAAATCGTATATTTGAATATATATAATAGTTTTAGAAAAAGAATTATAAACATTTCTTAGTATTATATTAATATTTTGGTATTATTGGAAACAAATACAAAATTACTAATACTATAACCTATCCTGCATTTACACATTAAAAAAAATCAGTCTAAAGCAGGGTTTCAATTTGAATTTAATATGAGAGATAATTAATGCCTATCTAGAATGTTATTCTGATAAATTCTGATGACATACCCATGTATAGCCAGAGAGAATGCTGTAATCAATTAGCACTTATGAAGTAAACAGGAGAGAAGGAGAGATGGGCATTTATATGCCGTCCCTGATATAGAAGAGCTAGATTAATGAACTGGCAAATTATACTTTAAGTAGTAAAATACACTAAAACATAAGCATTAAATCCTGCGAGAGCACAGAAGACACAGAAACTAACTGTGCCTTAGGGAGTTCTGAAAGTTTTCCCAGTTATCCTGTCTTAAAGGATGAGCAAGAATTTGCCAGGGAAGAGGATGAAAGGGGAAAAGGAAGGGAACAAGTATGTCAGACAGAGGGAATATATGTAAACACAGAATTCATGAAGAAGCCTGGCATAAACATGGAACAGTAAGAAATCAAGTGTACCTGAACAAGAGGATGCATGGGAGAAGGGGCAGGAGATAAAGCTGGAAAGGTAGGTAAGAAAACATATGCTTCCTGCAATCTGGTTGAGAAATCTGGACTTGATCCTAAGGAATAGAATTAAAGAAATTAAAGTGAAGGTTGTTTCAAGCTTTGATGATAAAGACCTAAACTATATTAGTAGCTGCGTTGAAAAATATAGAAGACAGATTGATTCCAGAAACATTTCAGAAATTGATTCAATAAGAATTAGAGGCCAAATGAATGTAAGGAATATGCAGTAAGGAAGAAAAAGGAGTTGAGTATGACTCCATGGTTTTTAGTGTGAGCCATTTCAGTATAAGGACAAAATAACCCAAAATAAGGAATACCGATAAAGGAACAGAGTGGTGGTTTTGTTTTCTTGCCTCCATGTTTTTGAGATGAAAATAATGCATTCAATTATACAGCAAAAATCACTCTTTCAGTACTATGAATTTGACAAAATGCACAGGCATATAACCAACACAGTAAGATACAGAACAGCTTCATAACTCCCCCCAAAACTTCCTCACGCTGCTCCTATTAGTCCTTCTCCCACTCTTAAAACCTGACAACCACTGATTTGTTTTCTACTTCCATAGATCTGCCTTTTCCTGAATTCCACATACCTGAAATAATAAGAGTACATAGTCTTAATTGGCTTCTTTCATTTAGCATAGTGCATCTATAAGTCATCCATATTGTTGGCATGTATCAATAGATTATTCCTCCTTATCGCTGAGTAATATTCTATTGTACAGATATACCACAGTTTATCCATTCATTTACTGAAGGACATTTAGGTTGTTTCTAGTTTAGGGCAGTTACGAATAAATCTGTTATAAACATTCATGTACAGGTTTTTGTGTAAAAGTAAGTTTTCATTTCTCTCGGGTAAATACCTAGGAGTAGGATTGATGAATAATACGACAAGCGTATGCTTCGCATTTTATGAGAAACTGCCAAACCACAAAGTAACTATAACATTTTGCATTCCCGTTAGCAACATATAAGAGTTCCTGTTACTCTGTATCCTGGCTATACACTTGATATTGTTAGAATTTTGTTATTGTTAATTGTAGCCATTCTAATGGTATACAGTGACTTTTAATTTTAAATGTGTTAAATTTACAGTACATAGGGCACAAACAGAAAGTTTTTATTTATGGATGGTTAAAAATGAGTCAAAGCTCAGGAAAAGAGTGCTGAATGACAATCCAAGAGCATTAGAGCTATAAAAGAAAGATGCCCAAAGGAGAAATCTTAAGGATATTCACATTTCAGTGGAAAATGGAAAGAACAAAGGAAACCAAAAATAAATAGGAGGATCAGAAGAAAATAAGAGTCATGAAAAAGAAGGGAATTCAAAAGATAAAGGAGTATTTCAGTTGTTGTAGCACTAAAAACAGGTCACCCAATTTGTTCATTCATTGATTTATCCAGCAAATTTAAGTGCCTACAATAAGCCAAGTACCATAGGAAGGAAGCAATAGATTTGATAATTAGGTCACGGGTAAAGATATTGAGAGAAATTTCATTAGTGGTGGAGCTAAAGGGCGAATGGAATGGGCTGAGGACTTCACAAGGATTTAAAACTTTGTGCTTCTGAACTTTTATTATTAACTTTCTTAATAATAACAATGTTTAGCATTATTCTCTACTTCATATATAAAAATTCTGTCACATTAATAAAAGCTTAGGCTCTTGGAAGGGAAAAACAGAGATCAGAGTTCATGACAGAGCAAACTGGGCTTCAACATTAGTTGCTCAATTATGTTCAACAGTATAAAATATCTTAGCAAAATGAAATGTTTGCAGCAATAAACCTCTTTAATATACTTACCACCTATACATTAGGCATCTTTTAGGCCACTGGCCTCTAAACTTTTTGATCACATATCCTATGTACACAAAATACATTTGGGAATTCCATGTACACAAAATACACTTGGGAATTCATCCTCAACATGTTTATTTATATACATGTATTACTAGCTTAATAAACTATCCCATTATAAATTCACAGATAGAAAAGTTTTAAAAAACAAAGTAGTTTTAAAAGGTAAACAAACAGAAGTTCTAATATTTTCTCCCCACATCTGATTGAATCACCTTGTGCCTCCCAACACACACAGCAGACACTACTCCTTAATACCATCAGTCTAGGCAATGACATTAAAACCTTTCAATATAAATATTAACCAAATAAAATCTAGCCCCAACAACTCATACATCATTTGTTCCTTTTTCTTCTGTAGTACTAACTTCCTGTCTCTTATTTAACATCTGCATCCTCACTGCAGTTGCTTCAAAGGGGATGTAAAGTTCAAGGAAAATGATCTTTAAAGGGGCCTCACCCAAGGGGATTGTTTCTTTCTCTGGATTATAGCTTAAAAAACTACTGTACTTCAAAGGCTGCTGTCTCATACAAGTTATTTTAAATATAAGAAATGCTATTCAAACACTGTAAAGTAGCCAGAGGAATTTTTTTTCAGTCATAAGCTTATTTTTTCACTCTCCTCTTTGAAAAACTGCTGACGTTGGGCAAACAACTGGAATCCGAACTTTTTCTAATATATATTAACGGAATTTCTTGTCTCCATAAAGCCTCCATTTCCAGGGGCTAGGGTGGCTGTTAGTAAAATTACAAGATCAGTACAAAGGGGAAAGTGCACCAACCAGAAGATCTAAAGGACAGAGCCGTTTGTTTACCAAGAGGGAAAGTCATCTTCTTACAAAATATAAATCACTGAATGTTGTAATTAAGAGACCTCAAATCAGAAGGCTTTTTTTTTTTATTAAAAGGTGTTCAAAAAGCCGAAGAGTTAATGCCCATGTCATATTCTTTTGAAGTATCACTATCTCGTTTAACAGCTTTCAATTCCTTTCATCTCTTACGCATTATCGAGGAGACACGATTAAATTTTCATCTTGGAAGTGAGGTGGTCGACTATTAGAGAGAAGCATCAAAGCCACGCTCGCCCGCGTCAGGACTGAGCCCTTCCCGGCACCTGCATCCAGGTGGAGGGCAGCTCGTGGAGGTAGAGGGTGCGACCTAACATGTGTAGGCCACTGGGACCGAACCTGCCTTATTCTGGACACGGTGAAACTTCTAATAAGCTGAGCCGCGGGACAGACTGCTGAGCCCCAGAAGTGACAGGCAACGTTTGACAAGACCATGTACCAAAAAAGGAACTACCGAGAAACAGTGGAGCAGAGCGGCGATAGGATGAGATCCTCTGCCTGAAGCTCCTTCAGAGGACCAGCCCGGCTCTCGGAGAGGCTCAGTGCTCCCCGCGACTTCGCCTCCTCAAGAGAAAGGTCCGGCTGCCACGCCCCCGCCACCGCTCTCTCCCTCTGGGGAAGCTGAGAAAATCCCGGCTTGGCCTGGTTCTGAACCCTTTGTACGGGAAGGGGTAGATCAAAACAGTGGCCTCAGGAACTAGTAGCTCCCAAAGCGACCAAACCCGAGGCTCACCCAACCTGTCCAGTGTCACTCCTACTTACCTATTAATGTGGCACTATCCGGCGCTCTGACTTTCCAGTCCCCAGCTGCGGCGTCTGCTGCGGTAACAGCGGGGTCACCACTCCGCCCCTAGCGATGAGTCTGAAGACCAGGCTCGCAACTCAAGATGGCGGCCTCCTGCGCCCCTCACCCGAGACCCCAAGGCTCGCCTCCCAGAAGCCCTTGCACGCGGCGGCGGCGACGGCGGCGGCGGCGGCGGCGGCGGCGGAGGCTGCGGCACTGACCAGCAGAGGGGGCGGAGAGAAGCGGAAGCCCCAGCGGCACCCACCCGTTGGGGAGCCGGCTCCTGCCCGGACTCCGGGATTTTAACCCGGCGCGGTTGCCGTTGCAGTAGTGTGTCCTACTGCCCTAGTCCTCCGTGCCAGCTCTCAGTCTTTCATTCACTCATTCGTTGGTTTGCTCACCCATCCATCCATCCACCCATTCATTTGTTCATTTTACAACGTGGTATATTGATGGAGGGCATAATCTGTGCCAGGCATTGTTTGATATTGGAGGTACAACAGTGTACACAACGGATAAAAATCTTAACCTCATGGAGCTTTATTTCCTTCCTTCCTACATTCTCTGCTCATTTGTTTCAAGCGTTTCAGTTAGCTATTTATTTAAATTTTTGTATTCTGTAACATCTGTGGATTTTTGACAAAAAGTAGTCACTGATATATGAAATAACTCCAGATAAAGTACTCTAAATTATTATAACACATATATAGCCTTGTAATCCACCCTGGGGTTGAACAAGCAGTATTGAAAACAGACTGTTTTCTACATGTAGTGTTAGGCACAGAATATGCAAGATAAATAACACGATTCCTTCCCCGAAGAAATTCCTGTTTTCCATCTCTTGTTCTTTTTGTTCTCTTTTCTGAGAAATTTTTTGGGTTATCCTACAGCTCTCCATTGATGTCTTTTTTAAAAATTCTGCTATTGTATTTTTTAAATCCCAAGAGCTGTTTCATATTTTTAATTCAGGGATCAAGATAGCGTTATCTTGTAACCTTGAGGCAAAAACGTGTCTTTGTCATCCTCCATAGCTCTGAGTTTGGCACGCTGTAGCATTATAAGCCCTTTATTGATAACGTAATAGAGTGCTACTCAGTCAGGCCCTGGATAGTGGGTATTGTGGATTCGTGTAATGCCCTAGGACCTGCCCTCTCCTCGTAAATTAGGCGTTGGAACCTTGTCGGGAAGGTACAAAAAGACTACGACTCCCAGAATGCACTACAACCCAGATTAGCGTGGAGCGGTGCATGCTGGGAGTCCTTCCCTTCCGGGGAATAGAAGAAGAGCTTTTTTGAATTCGTTCCTGGAGGCTGGAGCTTTTCGGAGTCCCTGGTTCTCTTCTCGGTTCACCGTGAGTGTCTGGGTAGAAAGAGGGCCTGCCTCAGTCTTTTAGGCCGGGAAAGGTAATCGACGCCGCGCACGTACTCCTCTGCCCGCAAGCCAGACGGCGTCAGCCGCGGGATCCGAAGAGGAAGCCAAGCACAGGGCAGTGTGGCCGGCTCTCCAGGCCGGTAGGAAGTGACCGTCCAGCCCTGGTTCCCTGGGCCCAACGCTTTGACCCAGTTAGTATCGGGGCTGGTTTCCTGTCCTGGCCCGGGACGCTGGCATGGACCCTTGGGTAGGCTCCGGCACCTCTCGCCGGCCTCCGTACATCTCTCATCCCCTGTTGTGATCTAAGTGTTAGGGAGTTGAAGCGCATCCTTCTGCGTCCTGCTGTGTCCCAGCCCGGGGAACGTAGAAACTTCTTTGCGTGTGACGTTCTTTCCACTGGGGGTTTGGGAGAATTTTCATCTAAAATCAGAGACTATTTTCACTTACCTGAAGGGAAATGGAAAAAAGGACAAAGTTGGGATTTCTTAGAAAGCTACATTTATTTAAATGATGGGAATAATTTCCTTATTTTTCATTTCCTGTTTGTTTTCTGAATAGTTTTTAGCTGAACGGTAGTCTGTAGTAGAAAGGTTGTGATGGTGATTGCTTTTTGAAAATTACTTCTTAGCAAAATCACCTTTGTGTCAGTAGCCAGTACTTTATTTGTCCGTAAAACCCAGAAATGACTGCTGATTTAGTACAACTCGTTTTGTAGACCGAACCTCAAAGAGATGAGATATCTCACCTAAAATTATGAAACCTGAGATTATAATCCAGTTCTCTTTGACTCTGGAATCAGTGCTGTTTTCTAATATGCTCACTCTGCTTTTATTTCTTTGGGTGGAGAGTACAGCCTCTGGAGCGTGACTGGGTTAGCATTTTGGCTAACCATTTTCTGGCGCTGGTGACATATCTGAGCCAGGGTTTCCTCCATATAGAATGATAATAATGATGCTTGAATTGGTTTGATACATGTAAAGCTCTTTAACTGTTAACTGCTATTATAAAGATTTGTTTATTTACCCAATTCATTGTTAATAACTTTAAAGTTTTTTATTTAGCTATATCAGTTGGTAAGGTTTCTTCTCTTTGTTTTCTCTTACTTGACTTATTTTACCTGGGCAAGTTTATAAACGTTATTTTTTCTCTACCTCAGTCCAGAGACACTTTTTGAAATTTTTGAAAAAGTATTTACTTTAATTTGCATTATCATTGCCTTTGTTTTATCAAAACCATAAACTTGAAATACAGTAGTGAAATTTTGGTTGAGATTTATAAATAAATTTGTGTATTTGAGGAACAGTAAGTACATTGAAAATTTCTTCATCTAAATAATCCAGTTATAAATAACAAATATAATTGCTTGAAATCATTTTACAAAATGTATTTTCTTCAACTCCTACTTTCAAACTTAAAATAATATTGTATTCTTTTCTAGTTACCTGCTGTACCATGCTATCTTGCAATATATGTGGTGAAACAGTAACCTCAGAACCAGACATGAAGGCTCACCTCCTAATTGTTCACATGGAAAATGAAGTTACATGTCCATTTTGCAAGTTGTCAGGTGTGAATTATGATGAAATGTGTTTTCATATTGAAACTGCTCATTTTGAGCAAAATGAACTGGAAAAAAACTTTGAGAGGATTAATACAGTACAGTATGGAACTTCCAATAGCAGGAAGGACAGCACCCTACAGTGTAGAATGGAAGTTAATTCAAGTATTCATTCAGCTTGTGCATCTAATCATCCAAAAATTTCAGCTCAAGGCCCGCCTAACAATGGTATTTTAAAACATAAAGACTTTTATTCAGAGAACTTAACTGAATCTAGAAAATTCCTGAAAAGTAAGGAAAAACAGCCTGACCGAACCAAAATTAAAGGATCAATTTATGAAGCAATGTATAGTCCTCCTGAATGTCCATTCTGTGGAAAAATAGAAGGTTGTAGTCAAGATATGGAAACTCATGTGAAAACAGAGCATGCCGATCTTTTAGACACTCCATTAGAAGGTAAAGTATTCGTTTTATATAATAAGTAAGTAGCAGTAGTCCCAGTTTAATATGTGGTGTCCCAAAAGTTGGTTTGTAAATGAGATCACTACAAATGTGTTTTCAGTTTTTTTATAACATTGTTCATTTGCCATTATTGCAATATGAAATTACAGTAATGGAAAAGAGTTTTGATGCAAATAATAAATGTTTCAGCTACATTGAAAATAGTTTTAGAAACTTTCTGAGGAGAAATACACTCAGAGTCCAGTTTGCAGAGGCCATTCTTTTTTTTTTTTTTTGCGGTACACGGGCCTCTCACTGTTGTGGCCTCTCCCGTTGCAGAGCACAGGCTCCGGACGCGCAGCTCAGCGGCCATGGCTCACGGGCCTAGCCACTCCGCGGCATGTGGGATCTTCCCGGACCGGGGCACGAACCTGGGTCCCTTGCATCGGCAGGCAGACTCTCAACCACTGCGCCACCAGGGAAGCCCTGCAGAGGCCATTCTTTTATTTACCACCAGCCCAGTGGCATCTGAACTGTCTGGGACTCAGATTTTGTTACCAAGTTCTAGTTTGATTCTGTTATGATCAGAGAACGAACTTAATGGTTTAAGTTCTTTTGAATTTCTTGAAACTTGTTTTATGGCCTAAGGTATGGTATATGGTCTATCTCAGCACATGTTCCATAGACACTTGGGGAAAAAATGTGTGTTCTGCGGTTGTTGGGTCGAGTGTTCTATATTTGTCAATTAGGGTATGTTGTTTGATCGTGTTCAGATCTTCCCTGTCCTTGCTGATTTCCTGTCTAGCAGTTCTACCGGTTTTTGGAAGGGAGTTGAAGTCCCTAATTATAATTGTGTATTTGTCTGTTTTTCCTTTCAGCTCTATTAGGATTTGTTCCATGTATTTTGAGGCTCTTTTATTGGTGCATACACATTTAGAATCATGTATTTCTTTGATACCATTGAGTTTTTAAGAGTAATTTATATATTTTGGATGCAAGTCCTTTATCAGATAATGTGTTATGCAAATATTTTTTCCTGGTCTGAGGCTTGTCTTTTCATTCTCTTAACAGTGTCTTTCACAGCACAGAAGTTTTTACTTTTAATGAAGTTCAACTTACTTGATTTCTTCTTTCATGGGTTGTGCTTTTGGTGTTGTATCAAAACTCTTTGCCAGGGCTTCCCTGGTGGCGCAGTGGTTAAGAATCCGCCTGCCAATGCAGGGGACATGGGTTCGAGCCCTGGTCTGGGAAGATCCCACATGCCGCGGAGCAACTGAGCCCGTGTGCCACAACTGCTGAGCCCGCGTGCCACAGCCACTGAAGACCCCGTGCTGCGCAACAAGAGAAGCCTCCGTGATGAGAAGCCTGCGCACCACAACAAAGAGTAGCCCCTGCTCGCCGCAACTAGAGAAAGCCCGCGCACAGCAACGAAGACCCAACGCAGCCAAAAATAAATAAATTTAATAAATTAAAAAAAAAAAAAAAAAAAACTCTTTGCCAGACTCAAGGTCACCTTTCCCACGTTATCTTCTAGAAGTTTTAGAGTTTTGAATTTTACATTTAAGTCTGATTCATTTGAGTTAATTTCTATAAAAGGTTAAGGAGAGTGCATAAATTCATTTTTTGAAATTTAATAAATGCTATTTTTTAGGGAAGTTTCAGGTTCACAGAAAAATTGAGTAGGAAGTACAGAGACTACCCGTATACCCCCGTCCCCTTATCCTCACAACCTTCTCCATTATTCAACAACCCATACCAAGTGATACGTTTGTTAAAATCAGTGAATCTTGACACATCAATATCACTCAAAGTCCATAGTTTACATTAGGGTTCACTCTTGGTGTTGTATATTCTACAGGTTTTTTTGGGTTTTTTTGTTTGTTTGTTTTGCGGTACACGGGCTTCCCACTGCTGCAGCCCCTCCCGTCGCGGAGCACAGGCTCCAGGCACGCAGGCGCAGCGGCCGTGGCTCACGGGCCCAGCTGCTCCGCGGCATGCGGGATCCTCCCAGACCGGGGCACGAACCCTCATCCCCTGCATCAGCAGGCAGACTGCCAACCACTGCGCCACCAGGGAAACCCTATTCTACAGGTTTTGACGAATGTATAATTACATGAACCCACCATTTAGTATTTAATATCATACAGAATAGTCACACTGCCCTAAAATTCCTCTGTGCTCCACCTATTCATCCTTCCCTCCCCCTGGCCACTGGCAACACTGATCTTTTTACTATCCATATTTTTGCCTTTTCCAGAATGTCATATAATTGGAATCATACAGTATGTTGCTTTTTCAGATTGGTTTATTTCACTAAGTAATGTACATTTAAGATTCCTCCATGTCTTTTTATGGCTTGATAGCCCATTCTTTTTTTTTTTAAGCGTTGAATAATATTCCTTTGGATGTGCCACAGTTTATTTATCTGTTCGCCTACTGAAGGACATCTTGGTTGCTCCCAGGTTTTGGCAATTATGAATAAAGCTGCTGTAAATGTCCATGTACCAGTTTTTGTGTCGACAGAAATTTTCAGTTCATTTGGGTAAATACAAGGGAATTTATGATTCTGGATCATATGGTGACAATGTGTTTAGTTTTATAAGAAACTGCCAAACCCTTCCAAAGTGGTTGTACCATTTTGCATTCCCACCAGCAGTGAATGAGAGGTCCTCTTGCTCACATCCTTGCCAGCATTTTGTGTTGTCAGTGGTCCAGATTTTGGCCATTCTAATATATGTGTAGTGTTATCTTGTTTTAATTTGCAGTTCCCTAATAACATAATAACATTTTCGGTACCCAGTATCAGCCAGGTCTTGGTCTTGTAGAGGTACCATTTCTTCTGTCTTGGGCGTGCTCCCAACTAGGGCATTTGATCCCAGTGTCCTGCTTTTTTGCTGAATGCTTGAATTCTGCTTGTCACCACGCAGTTTGGAGGGTACTGAGAATCCAGCCCCCAAAGTCCATATCTGAACTGGCCTCTACTTACCATTTGATTTTCCTTTTTCCTTTTCTTGTTTTGACTACGGAGCTAAATGTTTATTATTAATATTTTCCTTTATTGTAAGAGGTTTTGTGCTTATGCTCAGGCTTTCATCTTGACTCTAGAAGTAGAAAAATTGCTTTAAATCCAACTACAAAGAGCTTTTACTTATTTAATAAAGTTAGTGGGTAGTAGAATCTTTGACTTGGCGTGAAAAATTTTAAGGTTTTAAAAATCAAACCAACTAAATTATATCTCTAATACAGATTGTAATCAACCACTCTATGACTGCCCTATGTGTGGGCTCATCTGTACAAATTACCATATTCTCCAAGAACATGTTGACTTGCATTTGGAAGAAAGCAGCTTTGGACAAGGTATGCCTATATGTTTAAAGATAAGAATGTCATGATTTAATTTCTACTTCCTAGGATACTATCTACTTTTTAGATTAGTGTTATAGAGGGAAAAAAACCCCCACAGTGGTTAAAAATAAATCTGTCCCTTAAAAAATTCTAATACCACTTCAACTTTTTTAAGAAGTTTTTTCACAGAAAAGTTATAAAGGATGAACTATTGTGACCAACGACTGAACTAGGGGTGTGAATCCAGGGTTTTGACCTAGAACATCAGTATTTAGAAGACAGTGAAATATTGTACAATTTTTAAAATCTTTTTGATTTATAAGTTGAGGCCATTCTTTCAGCAGCTGGAAGTAGTTGAATTTAGCATCTTGTCAGTAAAAGTTGTTTATGAACTAGGAAGCTGCCATATGGCACATATAATTTTAAAAAGAATATGAACTATGAGACTTAAAAGTTCTTCAAGTGCATTTTCAGATACTCTTCTAGTTTCTTTATTACCACCTACTAGTTTTATAAGAGATTCTAAAGTTTTCCTCTGTCCCCTATTTTTTTAATAGTGGTATTGATTAAGTAATCATGAGGATGCCTTAGAAGTGGAAAGGTCCTATATGATTTTCACGATTCCATTGAAACAAAATGTAATGTAGACCTAAAGAGAAACCAATGTGTTCTACTGGATTTCAGTTTCTTAAGGTACATAGATATCTCCTGTTAATGCAGGGGTTTTTAGTGTTCATTATCAATGATCCTAGTACCACTTAGTGATGTCCAGGGACAGCATTACCTGCTCACTCAGCCTAATACGAAGATGAGAATTACTGGAGTAAAGATGGAACAGTTCTCTACTGTGGTGGTTCTTTACTAATTACTGTGGAAGAATAAATCTCTGAAGTTGAGAGTCTAATAGTTCTTACTTTGTTTATGATAAGCTTTGTATGGGTACATAAATTATTCTGTAAGCCTGTAGTGGGTAATGGGAGAAAGATATGGTCTGAGTGAATCACTGTTGATAGCTTCAGAAGTATGCTAAGAATCAGTTTTGAATTGCATATTTCTACCAGTGGAAGTAGGGACAAATTAGGAAGATGTAGCAGAGCCTGAGAGATTTGAAAGGAAAGAAAGAATATTCAAATACATAATTAAACCATCAAATTAGGAGGTCAAGGAGATGCTGGCCAGAAGACACTCACTAATGGATCTGTGGGACACTGGGTAGAGAGGAAAAAGGGCAAGATGTTCCATAGTTGTACTATTTGCTTAAGGTTCAGACTGTAATTAAGTTACAATCTAATATCTGTACTTTGCAAACTTATATTTTTACCTTTTTTATTATTTCCTTTTTCCCCCCCTAGTATTTCTTTTAAAAACCAATATGCCTTATTTTTGTTAATGAGGGGCACTACTCAAGGGTGCTACTTAATTTCTCTAAGTTCTGGTTTCCTTAGTAGATAATAATACCTAACTTCCTAAGGTTGTTATAAGGATCCAAATGAGATAATTAATAAGAAGTGCCTGTCACAGCCTAAACACTCAGCGAGTATTGGCGATTTAAGTGGAGGTTATACCCTTACGGAAGCAGTTCAAGTTCTGCTAGATTTGTTCTCAGTGTTTCTGTGACATCGTAGTCATGAATAAATGGCAAAATAATAGCATTTACTCCTTTTAAAAAATATGTATTAACATATAAGTGAGCCTTTATTTCAGTAGTTATTTTATTCTAGACATTAAAAATGTATAATAGGTATGGATAGAGTCCAGTGTTCTAGAGATCTGGAATTGGCTCAACAGCTTCAACAAGAAGAAGACAGAAAGAGGAGATCTGAAGAATCAAGACAAGAAATGGAAGAATTTCAGAACCTGCAGGTACAAAGATTAATAGCAATTATATTATTTTGGTTTGGTTAGAGTTCTTATTTTTCAAACATGCTATCAAGGCTTCAGCCTATTATTTTTGTCTTTATTATACAAAATATTTTTTTACATATATTTTTTATAGTTCATAACAGCCACCATTTATAAGTACTCATTCTGGTCATGTACTAGGGTGAACACTTCGTATAAAGTATCTTAAAATCTTCACTGCTCCATGAAGTTATTTTAGACTTTTTTTTTTAACAGCAGATGAAGAAATGGAGACATAAAGTACTTCAGTAGCTTAACTTGCTCAGGGTTTGGCAGTATTAAATGGTAAAGCCTGGATATAAACCTATGTCAATGGGGAAAATTAGGAAATTGAGACTCAGAATTTTAAGTGTTTGTATAGGTACTTAAAACAGAAACTTAGAATTAATGTCTCCTGAGTCTTAAATTCTTTTAGTGATTGCAATTCAGGCATTTAAAAAGAACCATTTTTAATGGAAAATGCTTTTTGATGATGTTTGAGACTTCATTTTTCTTAGGTGAGTGGTGGTATCTGTTGAACTAAACTGGTAGCATCTATTATATTTTTAATGCATTAAAAATTTTAACAGCTTTTTCTACTTTTTTCAGACCTAATTTGCTGTAGACTATGATGTCATCTGTGCTAATAATGCTCATATAGTTTTTAAGTGTTATTTTTCTATGTGCTAATAGGGTAATGTATGAGTAAAAAGGGTTTATGATTGAATAGGTTTGAAAGTGTCCAGTTAAACAGGTTTGTGTACTTGGGGTCTTCTCAAAGCCTTTAATATACTAATATGCATTGTACATATCATAATCTTCCTGATCTTATTTGACCTCTGACTTTTTTTTCTCCAGTATCTTAGACATGGCTATTCTTCCTTTGGAATATCTAATTTAGGCTATTTTTCTCATTCATGATTCATTTATTTGCAAAATTATTTTCCCACCAGGATTCAGAGGAGAAAAGAAAGTTGGCTTTTCCTAAGTCTTCTTTGCCTTATATAATTTTGAAACATTTATCAATACAAAAACTTTTCAGTGTTTAAGGGAGTTTATTATGTAAGTTTGCAGGTTACTTGTTCAGATCTCAGAAATGTTTTCCATAGGGGCTGTTTTAACATATTGTCAGTGTGCAAAAACATAGTTCATTCACTACATAGAATGAATACCTGACTGAATTATGGATTAAGTAGGCCTTTGTAAGCTAGCCTAGGAACCAAATAACAAGTACTGACAGGGTGTCTTGAAAAAATCAGCAATATGGTCAGAACTCATCTGCCTTTCACAGTACCATTAGTAGGAAGACAGGATTCTCTACTTTCCCTACTACAAGGAAAACAAGTCTCTTGCCATGATGGTTGTTTGTAGAGAAAGGCTATTATTAACTTAGGGATTTTTTTGTGTGTGATTGATTTTTCATAAAAATCTTTAAGTTGACTTCTATAAAAGTCTATAAACCAGAATGTTTCAAAATATATTTCCAGATATAAAAAATAGTGGGAAGTTTCCATCCTCATTAATGTAAAGGGACATAAAAATTAAGTCATTTGTTTTTATGTTCAATAGAGACAATATGGTTTAAATAATTCTGGAGGGTACAAGCAACAGCAGCTACGAAATATGGAGATAGAAGTAAATAGGGGAAAAATGCATCCATCTGAATTTCATAGAAGAAAAGCTGATATGATGGAATCACTAGCTATCGGTATTGATGATGGAAAAACAAAAACTTCTGGTGAGTATTTAAACATCCAAATCATGGTTTTAATATTCCATACATCACTGAAGTAATAATCAGAATTATTTGAATTTTGCTTAATTTTCATAACCCATAGTTTATATAGTTTTAGGTGAGACTGTGTGTTCAAGTAATTTTTTGTTTGTTGTTTTAAAACTCCTGAACTTTTATTTTTATAGTAAATAATTCACTTAAAAATAATTCACTTTTATATTGTGTCAATTTATTTGACATTTGAAAACAAACCTTTTAGAAAAGTTTTTAAGTGCTTACTATTTTCTAGACAATTGCTGTCTAGTAGAATGTGAATCACATAAATAATTTTAAATTTCCAGTAGTCACATTAGAAAAAGTAAGAAGGACTAGGTGAAATTAATTTTAATATTTTTCCAGCGTGTCCATAATATGCAACATGTAATAGGTATTAAAAACTGTTAATGGGATATTTTGCAATTCTTCAAAATCCAATGTGTATTTTACTTTGCAGGGCATCTCAGTTTGGACAAGCCACACTTCAGGTGTTCAAATAGCCACCTGTAAATAGTTTCTACCATATTGTTCAGTACAGTTTTAGATACTAAGACCTTTATATATATTGTATCATGTAACTCTCAAAAGAAAAATCTTGTGTACTGTTAGATTTTTCTGGATGAGGTCATTGTGACTTAGGTTAAATTACTTTCCCAAGGTAAGGTTACATAGCTAGTTATTGGCCCAGCTGGTATTCACAATCAGATCTGCCTTGTTCCAAAGAATGCCATTTTTCCTGATGTTTTTAATATTTTTTTAACATATCTGTTAGTATAGTTTAAAAAAAACCCAAATTATATGGAAACAGCTTTGTTCCCACCACCCAGTTTTTATGAAATTTAATGTTTTAAAGCTGTAAACCCTTTCATATGTATTTTAAACCCCTTGCGTACCCCTCATTCATTCTGATTTCTGTCCTCCACAAAGGGAATCATTATCCTGAATTTGGTATTTATCAGTCTCATATATGTTTTAATAATTTTATCTTATATGTAGGTTTTCATAATAATACATAATCTTTTATATTTTAAACTACATGTAAATTGGTATACAGTATGTATGCTTTAATTGGATTTGCTTAAATATATTGATTCTTATAACTGTACTTCATTCATTTTGATTGCTGTATAGAATTTCCTTGTATTACTTAGGTTGTTTCCAGTGTTTTATTCTTACGAATTGTGAACAGGTTTCCCCCTTAAGAGTTTCTCTAACATCCAGACTGGAAATACTAGATTAAAGGGTATTTGCATAATTAACTTTGTTAAGGGTATTATGGAGTTGTTTTCTAAAATGGTTGTAATCTACATTAGCATCAGTGTGTTCTGACTTATACTTTGTATCGTGACACTTTTTAATTTTTGCCATTTAATAGGGCATGAGAGGAGGATACATCTCTTAATTGTATTTCTCGGATTACTCCTGAGTTAGTTTCTTCTGTAAATAACCTAGTCCCTTCCTTTTTCCCTTCTCTGTTGGGTTGTTTGTCCTTTTCTTATTGATTTTTGGAAGTCCATTAAGTATTCAGGATACTAATTCTTCATTGATTATATGAGGAGCAAATATTATACCTTGCTTTTCATATTTTGACTTTTAATCAACTTGGAATTTATTTGTGCATATGTCTGTGTGAGAGAGAGGGAAGGAGGGAAAAAGTTGAGTGAGAGAAAGAGAAGGTATGGATCTAATTTTTCCCCTTATTTATAGTGATACTTACAATACTAAGTTGTTAGTGCTTGTTTATCTCAGTACCACTTAGCAAATCTGTACTGTCTCCATGTATTTGTAACACATATGTCATATTTTCATATATCCATAGGTCTGTTTCTGAAGGCTGTCTTTATACTTCAGGGGTCTCCCTGCAGAGTTTCCATACAGGATAGGACTTCCCAGCAGATGTGTAATATGATGCATTAGGGTATATAGGAAGAAAATATTAGAACTTCTACTTGTCTTTAATATGATATCCTTTAATTTCTGTCTATGCATATGTTTTAGAGTTACTGGAGAATATAGTAGTGTATGTATAATTTAAAATAAATATATCTGTAAAAGATTGAAGAACACTGACCTGTAACATACTGTGTCCTTTTTATAAGCTACCTTGAAATTTAGAAGTAATCGATTTGGTGCTAAAGATTTGTTTTTACTCCCTTCACTCATTTCTCCCATCCCCGCACATCCTGCCTCTGGCAAAGACCAGTCTGTTCCCTGTATCCATGAGCTTGTTTTTGTTGTTGTGGTTGTTGTTTTGTTGTTGTGTTTTTAGATTCCACATGTAAGAGAGATAATGCAGTATCTGTCTTTCCCTGTCTGACTTATTTCACTTAGCATAATGCCCTTAAGGTCCCTCCACTGTTATAAATGGCAAGATTTCATTCTGTTCTGTGGCTAAATAATATTCCATTGTATGTATGTATGTGTGTGTGTGTGTGTGTGTGTGTGTGTTATCTCTTCTCATTTTGTTTTTTGTTGTTGTTACATTAATTTTTTTACTCTTTTTTTTTATTGGGGTATAGTTGATTTACAATATTATATTAGTTTCAGGTATATAACATAGTGATTCAGTACTTTTTAGATTATACTCTAAAGTTATTATAAAATATTGGCTATATTCCTTGTGCTGTATAATATATCCTTGTAGCTTATTTATTTTATACATAGTAGTTTGTACTTCTTAACCCTACCCCTATTTTGCCCCTTTTTCCTTCTCTCTCCCCACTGGTTAACCACTGATTTGTTCTCTATATATGTGAGTCTGTTTCTGTTTTGTTACATTCCTTTGTTTTATTTTTTAGATCCCTCATATAAGTGATAACATACAGTATTTGTCTTTCTCTGTCTGACTTGTTTTACTAAGCGTTATTACCCTTCAGGTCCATCCATGTTGTTGCAGATGGTGAAATTTCATTCTCTTTTCTGGCTGAGTAGCATTCCTTTGCGTGTATGTATGTGTACCACAATTTCTTTATCCATTCATCCTTCAGTGGACACTTAGGGTCTATATCTTGCCTATTATAAACCATTATGCAGTGAACATAAGGGTGCATATATCTTTTCAAGTTAGTGTTTTTGTTTTCTTCTGGTAACAGATTGGCTTGCTGTGTCATATGGTAGTGAAATTGCTGGATCATATGGTAGTTCTAGTTTTATTTTTTTGAGGAACCTCCATACTGTTTTCAATAGTGGCTGCAACAGCTTTCAAAAGTATGCAAATATATACAGTCCTGTTGGACTGCTAGTATAAGACCTGCTGACCAGGTGATATGGCAGTGTCCCCTGGGTGACAGTCGCAAAAATCAGGGTTGCACACAAGTGTATGGGCTCTTTTCTGGAAGTTACTGGTAAGCTGGAGTAAGACAGAGGGAGAATGCCGAGGTGGCATCCACAGCCTTCGTTCCTTGAGAGCAGCTCCCTAGTCCACTAGATATGTGCCAATCCTGAAGCTTGCCCCCCAGGCTGAAGCTCTAAGACAAAGAAAGAGGCTGCCTTCAGAGAAAGACTTGGGGATATGCCTCAGTTTTTTGTCTGTGCAGTGCCCTGGAGGTGGCGGCCTTCTAAGAATTGTCTTCCCGATTGCCATAGACCTGTGAGACCCAGGAATGCAAGCCCTCCTGGCCACCAGAATCAGGCCGTCAGGGTGGCAGCTGTGAAAGCTGGGGTACCAGGCATAAAAACCAGGACACCAGCCATGTGTAAGGCTCCCCTCCAGGAGACACTGGCTCTCTGAAAACTTCCCTAACCTTGGGAAGGAAAAAGAAATCCAGATCCAGGAAATCCAGACTTCCAGATACAATTTTTATTTTTTGTTAGTTATGCAGATGTTAATTGAAGCTGCTCTCATTTGAAGAGTCTCATTATTTTAACATTCTGTATTCTATATAGAATAGAATATAATTTAACAGAAGGTAGATTCATCTTGGAAAATATCTAAAGACATTTAGGTGCTAAGAAATAAAAAACTTTAATTATGAGGAAATTTTCCTTTAAAAGCAAGTGCTATGATGTGGTTACTAGGACAGTATTACCTACACAATGAGGCACCATTGAGTTAGTAATAACTATGCCAAAGTATATTAGAATGTACATTACTTTTTTTTCCTATTTTTCTGTTATTCCACCTCACTCTTAAATGTCTCTCAAATCTTGATCTCTTTATCAAAGTCTATGATACTGAATCTCACATTAATTTCTCTGAATTCCTAGAGTACCCATTCCATACTACAACATTTAGTACTCAGTTTTATAGCATTTTAATTGTTCTTTTTCTTGACCGTGAATCTAATCTTTTTAAGTTCCCTGGAAATGGTTATAATGGTCTGTATTTCTGTCCTTCATAGTGTAGGCACAGCTACAACTCTTGGTTCCTTTAATTGTTTTGATTTATTGACTCTGCCTTCTTAAAGACAAAAACCCATTTTCCTATAGGATAATCTTCATTCAAGTAAAGCATTTAGTGATTGCTTTTTTGGTGCCATGTTCTATGTGAGAAAGTATGGGCTATCCAAATAAGATTTTCCTGTCAGTAAGCTTCCCAGAGTCTGTAAAGTATACACAGAGAACTGTAGAATTCTGCCATGAAATATGACCAGTACCTAGGAGGCACAACAAGTAAAATGTAGTGATTGTTCAGATAAAGAGGACCTTTTTGTTTGGGGTTATGGAATCAGGAAAAGTGTTTACGAAGACTGTAGCATTTGCTTCTGAAGGTATCAATAGGATTTTGAAATATAGGGAGAGTTACTAGAAGGAGGAAAGGGATAGAATCAGATGTGCCCTATCCTAACACCTTGTTATTCATGATATAGCACTTATTATAATCTGGGTCCAGGAGATTTTAAGGAATATTGTCATAATATTTTGTATCCTCAATGCTTAGCATAGTGCTAAGTATTTTAAAAGTGCTTAGTAAATATTGTAATTGAATGAAAACTCCATGGTCAAAATCATGTTTAATGTGTTCAGTTAGGCCACAGCCAAAATTGTGGCAAGAAGAGTGGTTTGAAATAAAGGTAAGTTAGAGGATAGCCTGCTGTGGGCTTCATATACCATGGATTAAAACTATTCCATGGGTAATAGGAAGCTATTGAAGTTTTTAAATTGAGAGCAAGACTAGGACTGAGCTTCAGAAAGAATGATGTCCAGCAGAATGTAAAATAAAATGGGGGGTCAAGAACATTCATTCAGCAGTGTACTTTTATGTGCTGGCCCTGCAGATGCAGAAGTGAAGGAAGCAAACAGTTTCAATTCAGCATAATAAGTAATATGCTAGTATTAGGAAACTCGCATAGTAGTAATAAATAAGCAGGACAATAACCAAGATTATATCAGTAAAAAGATAAAGAAGATGGAATCGACAGGATTTAGATGTGGCCCTTGAGAAAGAGGTTGATATTAGAAATATATGAGACAGCCATAGAAAGATGATATCCCTCTAAACTTTCTAAATCTCTTTTTCACTTTAGGAATTATGGAAGCACTTTATAGGTATTATCAGAATGCTGCCACAGATGTGAGGCGTGTGTGGCTTTCTACAGTAGTGGATCACTTTCAGTCATCTTATGGTGACAAAGGTTGGGGTTGTGGTTACAGAAATTTCCAAATGCTGCTTTCATCATTATTGCAAAATGATGCTTATGATGATTGCTTGAAAGGTATGTGAAATGCGATACCCTGAACTTATCACCTGATAAAGTACATTTGATGTGGGATGAATTAATATATAGTAGGCACAATTAATAGCTTTAATAAAGATGTATTTTAGTGGATATTTACATTAAAAACCTGAATTCTGGTTGAAGGAAGAGAAAATGATACAGTAGAAGATGTCAGAAATAATGGCATAAAAACTGTAGGTTCCTGTAGAATGTATGGTGTACTGCTAAATGATATTCAGTACTTTACTGTCATATTACATATTTACTTTGTATAATTTTAGGTATGTCAGTTCCTTGCATTCCAAAAATTCAGTCTATGATTGAAGATGCATGGAAAGAAGGTTTTGATCCCCAGGGTGCCTCTCAACTTAATAACAGGTTACAGGGAACAAAGGCCTGGATTGGAGCATGTGAAGTATATACACTTCTGACCTCCCTAAGGATAAAGTATGTACCTAAAAAACCAAGTTAATGTTATTGTCATATCTGGGAAATTTTTGTTATTGTGGTTTTTTTTTTTATCAAAGGGATAGTTAAAAAATAAAATTTAAGTAGCATTAAAATGAAAGACTTACAATGAAAAGCAGCAACTCATTTCCCCATTTCATGCTCTTATCTATTCTCGAGTCCTGTCTCTCAGAGGCAGCTGTCACTTCCATTGTTTTTAAATAATATGCTTTCATGGCCTTTTCTTGGTTTGTCACTTTTAGACATTGTCTATTGCATTCTCCTTATATCTCCCATCTGTTTCCCCTCAATTTTTGTAATATGGTTAAATCTCAGTTTTTATTAAGTTAAAGTCAGGGTTTACATCATGACTGTGTAAATATTATTCCTTGCTGATTTTATATCTTTCCTGAAAAGCTTTTTAAAATTTTCTTTGAGTTAAGAATTGCCTTTCCTTTTCCGTTTTACAGTTTGGCTGCATAATGGTCAAATTTTTCCAAAAACTCCATTTATCATGAAATCTGAGGTGCTCCTTATTCCTGGACACCTTTTTCTTGAAGCTGTCTTTCCTCTGCTCTAGTCTGCATTATTTGCCTTCTAGATCCCTTCCACAGCTCTAATCATGTTGCATTTCTTCACTGTTTTCTTGAATTGGGTCCTGGATTTTTCCTGGATTCCATGTCTCTCTCTTTTTTGGATTACTCTCTTTTGCTTGAACACTTCCTTTATTAGCCTTCTAAGAAAGGGTACCTAGTCTTATTACGTAAGTGATAGTTTGTGTGGCTGTATTATTCTTAACCCAAAATCATTTTCAAATCAGATCAAGTTGTTACTCTGTTGACTTCTAGCAATCAGTATTACTAAAGAAAAGGTAAGCTGCCATCTGATTTTTGTTCCTTTGTGTATAACCTATTTATTTTCTCTGGAAGTTTTTTTGCATCTTTTCTTAGCCCCAATGCTATGAAATTTCACCATTGGATGTGGGGCTTTGATTCATTGTGTTGGGCATTTGTTTTTCCTTTTGAATCTGGAATTGTAGGCTATAAGATCTCAGTATAGTGGTTAAGGGCTTAGACTTTTTGAAGTAAGATTGCCTACAATTGATTCTAGCTTTCTGCCTACTAGCTCTATGACTTAACTTGTCCTAGTCCCACCATTGATAAAAGAACATGTAAATAGTTACTGCTTCATAGAGTTGTAGTGATAATTAAATGAGATAATAATGTCCTTAGGACTATGACTGGCATGTAGTAAGAGCTTAGAGGTTAAATGTTGTTTGATAATTATGATCCTTCCATTTTCTTTATTTTTCTTTCTGGAGCTCCTGTTAGTTGGCCACTGAACTTCTTTGACTTTCTTTGATTTTGTTTTACTATCTAAATTTACTCAACGTTATCTCCCAGCTACTCTATTGAAATTTTTATTTTAACAATCATGTTTTTAATTTTAAGGGGTAATTTCATAGCATCGTATTCTTTTATGGTTGTAAAATTTTTTTCCAACATTTTCTTTTTTTCTATTCCTTGCATTTTTCTGTATCCTCCATGTTAAATTGTTTTCATGTCTATTTATTTTAGTCTTTTCCATTTGGAAGGCTTTCTTCTAACTTTTAAAAATCCTTAGCTGTCTGTTCCTAAAGTGAAGAATGAGGCACTAAAAAGCTGATTGGCGGACCTCGGCTTTCAAGAGACATCGGAGATAGATGCTTATGATCATCTTTAATGGAAAGTTTGCCTTAAGCTTCATGACTCTATATTAATTGCTTTTACTTATATTCGACCTTTTTTAAAATAGTTGTTGAGAAGTGTAAATAGTGCTCCTGGTTAAAATAGTTTGGTTTATTCATGGTTGACTTCCTCTTGAGGAAACAATACCACCATGGTCTGTTGCCAAATAGGAGATAGATAGATGTATAGATGGGGGTACATACAGGTTTTTTATGATCTTTACAGGTATTCTTTTCTTGTCTATTATTGAAATTTGAGAGAACTGACGGGAAAAATATTTAGGATATTTTTGATAGCTTCAAATGGCTGTTGAGGAATTATAATTAGAGGTCGGCTTCTAATTGATTATTGGGTTTAGAGACTTTGGAGTAAAAGTCCCTATGTCTCAGGTTATAGGTGGACTTTTAAAAATCAAGTATGACCCTCATTTACTACTAATGGAAGTTTTATATGTCAGAAAATTTTTGTAACTTTTATATCTGTCATCAACCTTAAAAGTTATTTAAATAATTTCCTCATAAAATAAGTTTTCAGATAAATAATAAAATTTTTATTTCTTCTTAAGAAAATGATGATGAAATAAAATTAATTCTAAATTAAGAATTTTTTGTATTTTATAACTCCATTGATGAAAAAAATTTTTTAATATTTTTCTAAATAATCCATTTTGTCAATTTTTTTTATAGGTGTCGTATTATTGACTTTCACAAGTCAACTGGCCCTTTGGGTACACACCCTCGCTTATTCGAATGGATATTGAGCTACTATTCTTCAGAGAGAGAAGGGAGTCCAAAAGTACTGTTTACATCTAAACCTCCTATCTATCTTCAACATCAAGGTTAGTATAACTTACAGGTACTAAGTATAACTTATAAGACAATTTATTTTTATAAGACAGGCAATTGGCTTTTGCTTTAGGATATGTTAAGATTCTGATAATTAATGGGAGGAGAGGAGTATTGTGACATTACTCTGATTTTTAGAGCTGTATTGTCATCATGACACATTCTAGTAATGGATGATGTCCTTGGTATCTTCAGGGCCACCTGGTTCATTCTCCCTTTATTGTTCATCCTTTACATTTTCCAAGGCTTTACCTCACTTCAGTAAGGCCTTCCCTACCATCTTTTTAAATTCATCTTGTTATTCTACCCCCCTCCAACAATGGCATTTCCTATCCCTCTTCCCTGCTTTATTTTTCTTTATCTAACATGATATATATAAACTTTACCTATTTACCTTGTTTGTGGAGAATTCCTTCCTATTAGAATATAAGCTCCATGAAGGCAGAAGTGTTTGTTTTGTTTGCTTTTGTATCACTAACTGCATGGAATAGTGCCTGGCATATGGATATTTCATAAAATTTGTCGAATGGATGATTTGGATTGACAGGAGGAAGGAGAAGTAAATATTAGGAATTTCATTGTTCAGGATACAAACTAGAAAGTTTAAGCCCTTCCCATTGAAGTTCTAGTATGTATAAATTGACTCTTGTTTACCTTTTGGAACCATGAGACTTTTTGTTCTTCAGTAGGTAAATTTCAAATCCATTCATCTGAGATAATTTGAATAAGAAGGACTATGCGATTAGGAAAGAAAAACTAAAATATACGGCATAGTGAAAGTAGAATTTTTTGCCATGAAGCCTTTAGAAAACTAAAATTGAACAAAGAAAACTGAAAGTGTCTTAGAACTGAAAGAACTCAGATAACCTATATGTCAGAGGGACTGACTGTATTTATATTCAAAATACACATGTGCACACACACTATATATAGAAAGTGTATATAGTGTGTCTATATATGTGCGTGTGTATATATAGTAACATATCTGTATATAGCTGTACATATAGGTAGATATCACATACGCACACACACACATATATATATATATATATAGCTCTTACTTGATTTTTTGATAGGTCATAGTCAAACAGTTGTTGGAATTGAAGAGAGAAAAAACCGAACATTATGTTTACTAGTATTTGATCCTGGATGTCCTTCTCGAGAAATGCAGAAACTCTTAAAACAAGACATGGAAGCTAGCAGTGTCAAGCAACTTCGGAAATTTGTGGGGAATTTAAAACATAAGCAGTACCAGATAGTGGCAGTAGAGGGTGTTCTTTCTTCAGAGGAGAAAATTGTAAGTATCTAAATATTTATTATGTGACGCTTGGACAGGTTGGACTTCAGAGTATAAAATTTTTACCTAACTCCTAACACCTCATTCTGTAACATTAGGTTGGCATAGATATTTTGTATGTCATTTAATTTCTGGAATGAACATCTTTAAATTTCAAATGGTACCTAATTTTGTCAAATATTTTACTTGGAGCTTCACAAAAATATTTAATTTTATAATACATAATTTAATTTTTAATGTCAGGGGAGTAATGAAAAATGGCAACATATATGGTAAGAAAAAGCTAACTTAATCCAAGGAGTTCTAACTCATATTGGTCTCATAATTACTGTTTATTAAATGTGATTCTAGTGATTCCTGAGGCTCTGTGTTAGGCACTTGGATATGTTGGATGAACTATTGGAGATATATATATCACACTATTGAGAGAGTGAAGTACTCTAATAGGACACATACACTTACTTATTGGATATGTACAATTCCAGAAATTAACTTCAGTACAGTTACCTCTTTATCCCTTGCATTTAAGTGATGAGTAGTACATTATAGAAGAATTCCTAGGAATTGGAAACCCTCCACTTGTATAAACTGAAGCTATGTGGTAGCATATCAAGTCTAGAAAATACACAGTTCTCAAATCTTAAAGAAAAAAAAATGTCCCTATTAGAGTACTTCACATTTGTTTCCCTCTAAAGAGAGAAGAGATAGAGCAGTAGAAAGGAGCGTTTATGAAGAATAATAGGATCATGAGGGAAAGGACTAAAATTGTTTGAAATGAGAGATAGAGCTAGAGTAATCTTTTCAGCATCACAACTTGGGATATACAGGCAAGGACTGTTTAAGAGGTTCTTCAGTTTAATTACGATACATTAGAGGTTTCTTTGCAATGACTTAAATATCAAAATTGCATTCATTTTTTTCACCCTATCATTAATTTGGCTGAATAAAGTTAGAGGTTCATTTTAACTGTTACAAAATACCAAGATGCTTGTTCACCAATATACCGATAACTTGACATCATAGGTGGGGTTAAGATGTTATGGAAAAGCCCGAGTGAACTTTTTGGCGTACCCAATATCATGGAGGCTAGCTGCACATTTTACTTAGCTGTTAGTTTTCTGGTCTTGGAAAGTGAGACCTTGGTGGTGTTTCTCTGCTTGTAGCCCCATCTCTATCTCTCCTTCTCTCTGCTTTTACCTCTCTCTGACTTTGAGCCAGGATTTTTAATTTTGATTCATTATTCCATAAAAAAGGTGATATTTTCTTTTTAATCCTTTGTGTTTTGTCTTTATCTGGAATTTTCTTTAATGTTTTAATGGCTTGGCTTTAAAAGTGTTTTTCCTAATTTCCTAAATTTGAAGTTGTAATATTCCTTAAGGAATTTTCATTATCTTGGAAAAAATTCCAGATTTTTTGTATTATAAAATTAATACATATTTTAATTAATTGACTTCTCCCTTACTATTAATATTTTTTAAAATTTCTTTTCAAGGCCAGGAGACAAGCTTCTCAAGTCTTTACAGCTGAGAAGATCCCTTGAAGAAGTAAGCATTTCAGTGATTGTGGAATTTTACTTTATTTTCCAAATTCAGATATTAAACTTTTAATACAACATATGAATTCTCTAAATACTCCATTTATAATTTAATTTCTAAAATTCTAAATTATGCCTTTTAGTACTCCATTGTTTAGTAGTTATTCCAATAAAATATCTTGTTTGCATTGTGGGTTTTATATTTCTTATCCATGTTTCAGAAACTGGTTTTGTATTATAGTCATATGACTATTTATTGGGTTCTTACTTGTGTTAGGTATTCACAGTATTTTGTGTGTATTAATTAATCTCCAAAATAGTTCTGTGAGACAGGTACTGTTATTAGCTTGTGAGGAAGCTGAAGCTCTGAGAGATTAGTAATTTGCACAAGAAAGTGGTAATCATCCAGAGTGTGAACCCAGACTGCTCACCTCCAGGCTCTTACCATTATAGCATTCTGCTTTCTTCTGTTATTATATATGTAATGAAATTCACTCCTCACTACTTAGAAATAACCTTAATATTTAATAGGCATAGCTCTAAAAAGAGGGATTTGCTTTTGTTAAATATTTACACTCGTACTTATACAATGGTGATGTAGAGTGTTGTGTTTAATGTGTCCTGTAGGAAAGAAACTTTCAGATTCTGTTGGATTTGCCATGTAAGGTTGCAAGCTAGAATCCTACTCTGGCCAATTTAAGCAGAAGAGAATTCATTCAAATTATCAGAAGCTCACAGAATCCATAGGTAACTAGGGAACTCTGCTAGAACAAAGGCAATAGTAGGGGCTAGAATATGGCATAATTTACAGCAGGGTCAATCAGGTTAGGAGCAGAGGTAGAATGTCTGCTCAAATTTCAGATTCCAGAGAGGGCACATCTGATTAGCATGTGACTGTATGCCATGGGACAGAGGCAATTTCTCAAAAGGAAATCCGGGTAGATGAAGAAATGGATATTAAATAACAAAAAAGAAAAGCAATAAGTGTCTACTGCCCCATGAAAAAATGAACAAGAACTTATTTGAATGAAGTTCTATAAATATTATTTATGTCATCAAATACAGAAAGTTACACTCCAAGAATGAATAATATGTATAGCTGATTCACTTTGTTATACAGCAGAAACTAACACACCATTGTAAAGCAATTATACTCCAATAAAGATGTTTTAAAAAAAATAGTGTGTATTAACAGCAAGAACTGACAAAACCATAACCTTCATAGTCTTAAAAAATAATATTGCCAGCTGGAAAATTCTGGAAGCCATCATTTCTAATATTCTGTCATCCAGACTGGTAAACAGGTTTCTACTCTATATCCCCATGCAGTTACGCTCCTTCATGCCATCATTATCTCTTACCTAGACAATGTAATAACCTCCTAAATGGGCTCCCTGTCTCTGTCAGTCCATCTTCCACACGGAAGGCAAACCATTCTAAAATACAAATGCAATTTTGTGACTTCCAGTTGAGTCCTCTTCATTGCTCATTGTTAAAATCCAAACATCCCACACAATCTGGGCCCTGCATACCTCTCCAGTTTCATCTCTCACCACTCTCAAAGTTTCACTCCTTTCAGCCTAAAGACCTTTGCCAAAATACAGCTGGTGCTGCCTAGGGCCTTTACCCCCTTAGTTCTCCTCTTAGAAGGGCTTCCACTTAGAAATGCTTCCTGAACTGCTCAAGTTTGGATTAAATGCACCTTCTAAGTGTTTGATAAGCAACGTTTCTCAAAGTATAGATTGCTGAGCTGCAAACCACCAGTCTGTGACAAGATAATTATAGAAGTTACAATTGCTGACATACTTTGATTCTATTTTACACAGATAATAGCCATGGATTAGCAGTTGTTTTTTTTTTAATTGGTTCTTCACCACAGAGTTTGACAGACACTGTCCTATGGTGTAATATTTGTATCACAATACCTGCTATTCTAATTATCTACCTTTATATGTTTTCCTCCTTGAATGTAAGCGCGAAGATTTCAGGAGCAATGTCTAGTTTTTAACAGTAGCCCCACAGTGCCTGGCACATCACATATAGAACTTAAAAATACTATTTTGGTGAATGGAAATAACTAATTTTAGAAAAGCAGTGGTAGCAGATATCAGTTTGAAGTCTTTGGATATCCCAGCTAGCCGTCTCTGTGCAAATTGTTTTCCCTGAAATCAGATAAAACCGGTTTCTATAGGATGAAAGAAGAGTTACATTGAGACATTTCTTTAAGAAGCAACAAGCAAAAGAGTTAAAAAATTTGAATGTTCCCACAGTCTTTGAGCAGGTGGTGGAGTTACATACCCTCTCCCCACAGGGGGGAATATATATATATAGATGTATATACATACAGTATTTGCATACAATATCACAGATTGCTTAAGAACACACGCTCTAATTTAGTTATTTTCAATATTTTTGGTCTCAGTATTCCTTGATGCTCAAAAAATATTTACGTTCCCAAGGAGCTTTTGTGGGTTATGTATTTCCATGTTTGCCGTATTAGAAATTCAACCTGAGACTTAAAAAAAAAGAGAAAAAATATAGAGGCACATATTCCATTAGCTGCAGCCATCAAAACAGTAATGTAAGAAAATGTCATTTAGCCTCTGAAAAATCCATTGAGTATCTTTCTAAAAGTACATATTAATAGTTATACATACAAAATTCCAAATTTTATATTTTCAAGGAATGGTATTTTGCACATCAATAGTTGCCTATATATATATAGGCAACTATATGTGTGTATATATATATATATATATCAGTCCCAAATAAGGAGTATGTGTGTATCAGTCTCATAAAACTGGGCTAATTTTATTTTTATTAGTCATAGTCATCTTCCTCATCTTCATCTTCCTCAGTTTCTTCATTTTCCTCTGTTGAATTTACAGCTGCTTCTTGTGCAGCCCTGAAAGCCTGCTCCTCTTCCACACTAGGGTCATCCATTTCTGTAATTTCTGGTCCACTGGGGTACTCTTGATAAACTGGTGGTGGAACTGGAGGTGTATAGCTGTCTGGACTATATTTATGACCCCAGCCTATGTAGAAATTTTCAAACTTTCTGTAAGTTAAAAAAAAATGTAGATCATTGTATAATTTTTCAGTAAGAAAAATTGAACCTTCTTTTCTGTAAGGATAAGGTACTTAGAGTATCATAGTCCCATAATGTTAAAACAGTACAGTATATTTTAAATGCATTAGAGATGAAATATCCCTAAATGATTCTTTTACCACAGGGAATTACTGTGATCCAAACTGCTTAAGCTGGTTAAGAAAACATAGGGCCAGACCCTGTCAAAATGTACCCTACACCTGGACCACAGCCTTTCATCTTTTAATTATTTTCAGAAAAACAAAACAAAGCAATGAAGTTAAAAATTACATACCTTCCTTAGAGTTAGAAAGAATTAAGAAGTTGCCAACCTTGAAAACTCTTGGCTGGGTGAGAAGTCGGACTTGTGGTTAACAACCTATGTGTGTTTTTTCAGGTCCATCCTTGAGCAATTACAAAAGCTTTACCTAGTTAGGCCTCACGGGGGTGAAACTGCCCTCTCCACCCCAGACTTGGTGCATAGCCAGTGCACTGCAATCTCTAAGAGAGCGTTGTGGTCAAGGATTCTGGCCCCTCTGGCCTGTCATGCTCTTAACACAATTGTGTTCCTGGCCCAGGTGCCTTCATTCCCAGGCCTCTTCATCTGAGGCCTTCAGCAGAGGTCTTCTTCAGGCCCCTTTGCCAAGGCTTCCTAATGAGGGTTGGGTGAGAGAAGGGGAGACCTTATAGACACTTCCCCTACTCTTGACTCAGTACCCAGTACTTTTCCCTAGTCCTCCCCACCTTTCTCTGGTCACAGGTGCTTAAAACTGCAGGAGCCTTATGTGGGGACTTGCTTGTCATTGAGATGACCCCACAACTCTGCTGACCCATCTGACGTTCCACCAGTGTGCCATTCCATGGGGGCAAATGGAACGGGGTTGGGGTGGGGGGAATCAGTCCTTCAACTTGGTTATACCATCACAGTAAGTGATTAAAGGCTTAACATTTTCATTTCTGGCTTGTTGCTTTAATGGCTACTCTGACATTTGACCGCTCAGCTCTCCAGCTCAGCCGAGCTTCTGACACTAGGTTATTAAGTAAGAAATGGAAGCATAAGACAAATGAAAGTGTAAGCTCTGGGTGAGGAATTAAAGGACGTTTACTATCCTCTTATCCTAACTCTTTTGAAAGTGATAGCCTAAATCATACATATTTTAAATTATCTTTTATCAAGATATCCAACAAAAATGATGAGATTTAAACTAAATACTGCTTAGAATTACCTCCATGAAATGAATGTCAATTACTCAAATAATCATAGAAGAAAAAACATATTTTAGCCCCATTAATTGGATAATTCAGATGAAAAGGCAGAAGTCTGAATTACTCTAATGTTCTAAATTTGATGCTTTGTTGTATAAGATGGATGTTGTTTGAATTAATCTTATGCCATACACACTTGACATTCCAGTGATAACTTATAATTTCCAGAAGTTAAATAATCAAAATAATAGCCTTGTAAGTTGTCACATACTTACTTGCCATTGGAAAAGGCGTATGCTCCAGTCCAAAGGTTGGATCTAAGGACTGCAATAGCATATTGAGGAATGAGATTTGAGGATAACCGTGTTGTCCAAGGCGGTATATTCTGGATCTCTGTAAACCAAAGAGAAATTCAAAATAGACTTAACTGCTAAATAGACAAGGATATACTGTGTAACAGAAAAGCTGTATTTATAAATCTTAAAATACACACTTGACATAAAGTTAAAACATTAACAGCTTAACATAAGAGCAGGAGGGTATTATATGAACGTTGTGTAAAAATGAAATTTGTAAAAAAAGTGTGTATACATTTATATAGATATATATATACACACATATGTGTATATATATATATTTGTGTGTGTTTATATGTGTGTGTACATTTGTAAAGCAGAGAAAATAAGTTTTACAAGAGGAGGCCTATGTGGCAGAGGGAAAAATACATGATGACCAAATCATTATTACGAAAGAGAGCTAGGGTTATAAGCATGAATGCTCCAAAACTGAATAGGAAGAAAAAAAGAATATGAAAGCAATAGTAGATTAGAAAAAAACCAAAAACAGTACCTCATATTTTAGCTATGTCATGTGTTTGTGATCTGTAGAATGCAAAACAAGAATGATAAAAAAGATAGCTATCAGCATTTCCACTAAGAGGTAGAGCCACCTTATACTTCCTCTGCAGTGCACTCCTGCAACCTCTGTCCTAGACAGTTCTCGGTGGGGCCAGCTACATTACATTCTTTTTTCCTACCATGTACTGTAGTGTGTGTGTGTGTGTGTGTGTACGTGTACACAGGCTTCTCCCGCTATCCAAAAGTAGAGCACTCCTATGAAACCTTTTTTAAGCTGAAATGACATAGAGCGAAGAAGCAATTACCTTAGGACACATCTTGCTAATGTGTTGACGAGATTAACTGAGATAAAGTGTAGAAGCTCACAAGCACAGTTCAAAGCTATGGCAACTTGATGCTGAGATGCTGAGTGTAGTTCCTGGAGAAGGAGCTTGGAGGTGCCCCTCTGACAGATTGAAGTGTGTGCTACTTCTATAACTGCTCACTGCAAAACAAGTGCTGAACGCTATTTTTGCCTTTTTTTTTTTTCTTCGTAAAAGAGAAAATCCTCTGGATTCTATCAGTGAAAATAGATACTAATGTAGCTCTCTCATAAAAGCAAAGTGGTGTAAGTCTATCTTTTGAAAAGCAGGAAATACCTGTGTATATATACATATATAGTATCAATATAGAGAGAGTATTTGGTATATATATTAAAATATATATTACATTGTATACATACATAGTACGGCATACCTTGTTTTATTGTGCTTAACAGGTATGGAGTTTTTTACAAATTGAAATTTTGTGGCAACCCTGCATCAAGCAAGTCTGTTGACACCATTTTTTCCAACAGCATTTGCTCACCTCGTGTCTCTGTAACATTTTGGTAATTCTGTCAGTATTTCAGACTTTTTCATTATTATTGTATTTGTTATGGTGATCTGTGATCTTTAATGTTACTATTGTAATTGTTTTGGGGTACCACAAACCATGCCCATGTAAAACAGAGAACTTAATTCTATAAATATTGTATGTGTTCTGACTGCTCCAACAATGGTGAATTATGTTGTGCACCAGGAACTAATATTGTGCTGTAGGTCAATTATACTTCAAAAACAAACAAAAAAGCTCATTAAAAAAGAGATCAGGTTTGTGATTACCAGAGATGGTGGGTTGTCGGAGGGGAAATTGAAATTGAAGGAAGGTGGTCAAAAGGTACAAACATCCTAATAAGTAGGTACTAGGGATGTCATGTACAACATGATTAATATAATTAACACTGATGTGTGTTATATATGAAAGGTGTGAATAGAGTAAATCCTGAGAGTTCTCGTCACATCACAAGGAAAATTCTTTTTCATTTTTCTTTTTTAACTATATGAGATAATGGGTGGTGACTAAACTTATTGTGGTTATCATTTTGTGATGTATTTTAGTCAAATCATTATATCTTACACCTTAAACTTATACAGTGCTGTATGTCAATTATATCAGTACAACTGGAAGGAAAAAATAAATGGGAGAATTTAACAAATAAAATTTAAAAAGGAAAACCTGGAAAGGATTCACCTTTCTAGAAGCCATTAAGAACATATATGATTCATGGGAAGTGGTCAAAATGTCAACATTAACAGGAGTTTGGAAGACATTGATTCCAACCCTCATGGATGACTTTGAGGGGATCAGGACTTCAGTTGGAAGAAGTAATTGCAGATGTGATGGAAATAGCAAGAGAACTGTAATTAAAAGTGGTGCCAGGGCTTCCCTGGTGGCGCAGTGGTTGAGAGTCCGCCTGCCGATGCAGGGGACACGGGTTCGTGCCCCGGTCCGGGAGGATCCCACATGCCGCGGAGCGGCTGGGCCCGTGAGCCATGGCCGTGAGCTAAGCCTGCGCGTCCGGAGCCTGTGCTCCGCAACGGGAGAGGCCACAACAGTGAGAGGCCCGCGTAACACACACACACAAAAAAGAAGTGGTGACTGAATTGCTGCAATCTCATGATAAAACTTGAATGGTAAGGAGTTGCTTCTTATGGATGAACAAAGACAGTGGTTTCTTGACATGGACATGGAATCTACTCCTGGTGAAAATGCTGTGAAGATTGTTGAAACGAATACAAAGGATTTACATATGACATAAACTTAGTTAATAAGCAGTGGCAGAGTTTGAGAAGATTGACTTCAGTTTTCTACTGTGAGTAAAATGCTATCAAACAGCTTTGCATACTACTGAGAAATCATTTGTGAAAGGAAGAGTCAATGTGCTAAACTTCCTTGTCGTCTTATTTTAAGAACCCAACCTTCACCAACCACCACCCTGATTAGTCAACAGCCATCAACATAAAGGAAAGACTCTCCACCAGTAAAAAGATTATGAGTCGCTGAAGGCTCAGATGATGGTTAGCATTTTTTAGCAATACAATATTTTTTCTTCCAGTTTGATCTCTTTTTCTTTGAGTTTGCATGTATATTTGTTTTTTTGTATAATTGACCTACAACACTATGTTAGTTCCTGTTACACAACATAGTGATTTTTTTCTATACATTTCAAAATGATCACCACGACAAGTTTAGCCACTTTGTATGTCACCATACAAAGACCTTTTTATTTGGACTATATTCCCCACACTGTACATTTCATACCCTCGACTCATTTATTTTGTAACTGGAAGTTTGTACCTCTTAATTTCCCTCACCTAATTCTCTCATCCCCCCACAATACAGTATTTTTTAATTAAGGTATGTACATATTTTGGGAAATAATGTTATTGCACACTTAATAGACTACAGAAGAGTGTAAACAAAACTTTTATATGCACTGGGAAACCAAAAAATTATTGACTCACTTTATTGCAGTGGTCTGGAATTTATCCCACAATACCGCCAAAGTTCGCTTGTATGTACATGTGTACATACTTATGTATGCCTATACACACACACACATATAGTGTGTAAAATTACCTAAATCTTCAGAGATTGGTGTCAAGAGAGGAGGCCCTACTTCCTGTTCTATGTAGTCAGGCTCTTCTCTTTCTTCTTCTTCTTCTTCTTCTTCTGCTTCTGCTGCTTCTTCCTCCTCACTTTTTTGTATGGGGTTGAACCAATTACAGCGACCCTGGGTATAAATATTGGAAGATTTAGTAGTCTAACAAGGACCTTAAAATATCAAAATATTCTTTTGGATTGAAGTAATTATCTGCATGACATCCCATTATGTGGCATATTGATCATTCATTCAACATATATTTACCAAAAGCTGTTTTGATCAATGTTATTTTAAGCAAAGACTGTACTATTTATTTCAAGAATCTGCCCACTTCTTGAAGTTACAGGACATTTATATATTAAAATCATTAGAACCTTGGTGAAGAAGGTAATCATTTTACTGATTTATGTGAAGGTAAGGTACTATTATTATTATTAATAACAAAAATGTGATAATAAGATTAGGTATGGAGTTTGTGGCTTATAATTTCTCATTTAATTAACTCATCTAGAGATATTTAAGAATATCTCTTATGTACATCAAAGTATAATGAAGATTTTCTACCTGCAGATGAGACAGTTTAACAGATTGATTAAGAGTATGGACTCGAAAAAAAAAAAAAAAAAAAAAAAAAAAGAGTATGGACTCGATCCATTCTGCCCATTCACATCTGACCCTGTTGTTTATTAGCTATATTCCCCTTGTGACATTTCCTAAACCCTCTGCCTTAATTTCGTCATCTGTAAAATAAGGATATTAGTCTTTCATACAGTTCTGAGTTTTAAATGAGATAATACATATAAAGTGTTATTAAGAACAACTGGCAGAATAGGTTCTATATAACTGTTATAGAACACTGTTTACTTGTTTTTGTTAGAATCTTTTATCATTCTTGGCAAAAAAAGTTCCTTGTATTATAAAAATAGAATAAAAGAACTCCTACCAAAATTAATGTACCATCTATATTTAACATATAGAAAATAATTTCACAACACACCTAAATCTAAATCCTTATGTAACTTGTCAAATACTCCATAGAAATATTTATTTTATTTACATTTGGATCACAGGTTTATACTACTTGGCAATTATACAGTACTCTGTGTTTTCACTAGGTTTTTTAATTGTCTCTGGACTCTGAAGGCCTTTGTCTTGTATATATTGTATGCATTGTAGACAGAATTTAATAAATATTTGCTGACTAGATGATAGATTGAGAATTGCAAAGCCCCTACCTGAGGGAGTATATGTTGTACATGATGAACCCAATTGGATAGGGATTCCACTAGATCAATCACTTGGATGCCTTCAAAATCAGGGTTTTCTTCAAAGCTATCTCGCCTGCCTTCTGTTTCTTCCTCCTCTTCTCCTTCTTCTTCACCAAAATGATAGAATCCTAGAGGGCTGACCTGAGTCCCTGCTGAAATTCTGGCAATTTGTGCTCGTAAGTAATTACTCTCATTTCCTGGGAAGGGTGGGTAGCTTACGATGGGGGTATCCAATCGCCCAGTGAAAAATTTCTTGATTTTTCTTGCAATAACAATTTGTGCAGGTGTAACTCCTGGTAACTTCACCCATGGTCTTCCTGGTTCATTGCAAACAAAATAGACATATTTGTTGGCACCTGTTCTGCTTTCTTCCTTTGGAATAGACTGTGGGGCCTTGTAAAAGGACCTTGGTAATTCATCTTCATTAGCTTCATTGTCTCCATTGTCCCTCTCTTCAGGTTCATCTTCCTCTTCCACCTCCTCTTCATCTTCTCCCTCACGGAATTCCACTTCAGCTACAATATAATTCATTTCCAGACCTAAGATCTTACCCCAGAAACGACATTTTTGGATTGGGTGGGTGTCAGTAAGCTGCTTGAGGGCAAGAAATATGCGATAAGTCTCATCTGTGCCCAAACCGACTCCAGCTTGTTCAAAATAAAAAGCTGACTCCATTACATTTGGAAGAGAGTGTTCTGCCTGGGAATACAATTGCTGTGATTAATATTTTATCCATAAGAGAACTGTTTGCAGTCTACATTAATGTGATCCCTATTTTTGAAAACCATGACATTTTTCACAGAACTACAACAATTAATTCTAAAATTTATATGGAACTACAGAAGACCCAGAATTGCCAAAGCAATCTGAGGAAAAAACAAAGCTGGAGGTATAACCCTCCCAGACTTCAGACAATACTACAATGCTACAGTAATCAAATCAGCATGGTTTTGGCACAAAAGCAGACATATAGATCAATGGAACAGAATAGGGAGCCCAGAAATAAACCCACACACCCATGGCCAATTAATCCACGACAAAGGAGATAAGAATATACAATGGAGAAAAGACAGTCTCTTCAGCAAGTGGTATTGGGAAAGCTGGACAGCTACATATAAATCAATGAAATTAGTACACTCCCTCACACCATATACAAAAATAAACTGAAAATGGCTTAAAGAGCTGAATATAAGTCACAACACCATAAAACTCCTAGAAGAGAACATAGGCAAAACATTCTTGGACATAAATCATAGCAATATTTTCTTAGATCAGTCTCCCAAGGCAAAAGAAATAAAAGCAAAAATAAATGGGACCTAATCAAACTTACAAGCTTTTGCATAGCAAAAGAAAATACTAACAAAACATAAAGACAACCTAGGGAATGGGAGAAAATATTTGCAAATGATGCTGCTGACAAGGGGTCAATATCCAAAACATACAAACAGTTTATACAACTCAATATCAAAAAACAACCCAATCAGAAAACGGGCAGAAGACCTAAATAGACATTTCTCCAAAGAAGATATACAGATGGCCAACAGGCACATGAAAAGATGCTCAAAATCACTAATTATTAGAGACTACAAATCAAAACCACAATAGGTATCACCTCACGCTGGTCGGAATAGCTATCATCAAAAAATCTACAAAGAGAAAAGGACTCTCCTACGCTGTTGGTGGGAATGTAAATTGGTGTAGCCACTATAGAAAACAGTATGGAGGTTTCTTAAAAAATTTAAAATAGAACCACCATATGATCCAGCAGTTCCATGCCTGGGTATGTATCTGAAGAAAACAAAGACACAACTGCAAAAGATACTTGCACCCTGATGTTTATAGCAGCACTATTTACAATAGCCAAGACATGGAAACAACCCAAGTTCCCATCAACAGATGACTGGTTTAAGAAGATGTGGTATGTGTATACAATGGAATACTACTCAGCCATAAGAATGAACTATTGCCATTTGCAGCAACATGGATGGACCTAGAGAATATCATACTAAGTGAAGTAAGACAGGAAGACAAATATTATATACCACTTACATGTAGAATCTAAAAACTAATGTAAATGAATCTATATACAAAACAGAAACAGACTCACAGACACAGAAAACAAATTTATGGTTACCAAAGGGGAAAGGGAGGGGAGGGATAAATTAAGAGTATGGGATTAACAGATACAAACTGTTATACATAAAATAGATAAGCAACAAAGATTTACTGTATAACACAGGGAACTATATTCAATATCTTGTAATAACCTACCATGGAAAAAAGAAGTCCAACATCCTCTCCTTATAAGAAATATTTAAGTGGCCCCTTTACTATCTTGAAATAATAAAATATAGCATACAGTAATATATATAAAATAGATAACCAATAAGAACCTGCTGTAGTAAAAAATAAAATTCAAAAAACATTAAAAAATTTTAAAATGCCATATTTGCCAAATAAATAAATGTAGCAAAACCTACCTACAGATATTTAGAAAATAATTTTTATAAATATATGTTTATATATGTTTTTATATATTATCATACATTTAATAAATATTTATAATATGGATATGGTAAGATATAGAGTAAATAAAAATCAATATGGGTGTAATATACAGGATAAATAAAATGAATGTATAATAAGGTAAATGCTCAGACATGACTACATTTGAAGACATAATTTAGTTAGATGCTTGCTTCTACTTATGATAAATAATTTTGGGTTTAAAATGAGAAAAGCAGAAATAATTCCAAAAAAGAAATACAGGAAAATAAAAAGAGTCTCAAGTGAACTCTAGAAAAACATTTTTGAGAAAGTAGAAAATAACCTTAACTGAGCTAGGGATAACTTGGCAAGACAACCTTTAGACCCTGAGAAATTAAGAGCACTTTGCTATTCTTACAAATGATCTGCTCTCATTTGTATTATAACTTGAGTTGAAAAATAGAGTGTCAAAATAAGCATAATGATTTTTTTCAATCCTAATCTCATCTGATTGTAAGACTGTTTCTTTGGGATCTATTGCACCACGCGCTCTGATCCTACTCTGTCTTCTATAACTATTTCTTCTTAGTCTTTTTAATTAATTGAGGCCTAAATATCAGTGTCCTCAAAATTTCAGTCATCTCATCACTCAGCACTTTATGCTTAGAAGATTTCTCCCACACCAACCCAAGTGATATGTGGTTTTTAAAATCTACTTCTCTCACTCTAACTTTCCTCCTACATTTCACACCCTTATTCCTAGCCAGCTACAAGAACTTTCAATCTGAATATTTTCCAAAGATATCACCATCACTCAGTTTCCCGAACTAGAAAGTTCAGTCATCCTTGCTCCCTCTGACTCCCTTGACTCTCATATTTAGTTAAAGTCCTATTGATTCCACCACCTAAAGAGCTATTGGCATTATCCCCTCCTCTTTAACATGCTAGTCTCCACCTGGACTACTTGTCCTGTCACAGAAGTCTTCTAATACTGTCTTCCTTGTCCCCATTCAAACCCTTCTTCTTTCATTCTGCTCCACATTACTACCAAAGTTATGTTCCTAAACCATAAGTCAGACTATGCTTTCTCTACTAAAAGCCTCTATTAATTTCCCACTGTACGCAAGAGATCAATTTCTTATCAATACACGGTGAGCAGTCTAGCTTTAAAGCACCTTGCTTGCTTCATTTCCTTCGCTCAAAATCCCTCAAATCTGAAGTCAGTTTCCCAAATGCTAAATAATCTCTCTTGACATTTTATTGTGCTTTTGGCCCAGAATTTTATGCCTTATAGTCTTCACCTGGTGAACTTCTACTTATCCTTCATGATCGAAATGAAATATCACTGCCATTACAAAGCATTGCCCAGACCCTAATAGCAGAGTTAGTTGCTCATAGCTTGTCGAAACAACGCAGTAGTAACTGCTACTATTCATTAAGTTTCTAGGATGTGCCAGATCCTTTATATATAGGACCTCTACCCCTCAGGTTGTTGCCATGTGATTATCCCTGAGGCTTGGAAAGGTTTAGTCATTTAGAGTCACACAGGGAATAAGTGATTGAACTAGGATTCAAATTCAGATCTAATTCAAAAGCCCCTGTTTTTTCCACCATATCTCGATTACTGCAGTAGTCAAATAACTTTAATCTTTTTTTACCTCTTTCACTAGACTGTGACCAACGTAAAGTTAGAAAAGTCTTTTTTATGTGTATATGTCAGTACCTAGCATGCAGTAGGTATGTTTGCAAATCAATGGGTGAAGGAATAAATGAATGCTGAAGACTAAGAACAGGAATTCTGGTGTGTTCAAAGACATGAATAGAAATATTAATACTCTAAACATATCAGTCTGGGACAGAGTTCCCAGAGCTACCTGTCTTCCTGTTCCTGAATCTTTCTACTCTCTGAGGTAGAACTTTTTATCTTCATCTGATGACTTGGTTCATCCTTTCTCTAAAACCAATCCTCTTTGTTAGGAGGAATTGATGGAATCTGGTTAAGAGGCTCAGGTTCCAGCATCAAAACAGCTTATCTGTATTCTCATCCCAAAACCTAGTTCAGAACGTAGATCCCTGCCTTGTAATACTGTGCCTATAGATAGTGCAGTGCCCTATTCTCATACTGGAGTTGAACCTTCTTTGATAAACTCCTGCATGAGAGTGCCTGCCTTCTGTTTGATCCCCACATGCTGTTTGCCACCAGACTTGTCAATACTATATGTGGCTACATAATCAAGTGTTTGGAGTAAGATATTTTTAGAAAAGGTCAGCCAATATCAAATCCTTGACACCTATCACTTGTTCCTTCTGAGTATTCTATATCTCATTGTGTCAATTTGTGTCTCCCTATAACAGCTAAGGAGCTCTGGAGGGTAAACCTACTGTGCATATCCCTACTCCTCCTCTTTCTTTGACTGAACTGTATGTCCTTTTCTGAACATATGTTACTCCAAACATCAAATTTGCAAGTATGAGGACAGTTTTAAATAGTCTAATAGTAACAGAACATAGAAGCTCAGTAGATGTACAGTATAAATTACTCAGTAGAATAAATTGCAAATATGCAGGCATTTAGGAAACAGTAGCGTATACTGATTTGAAATATTTGGAGGTAAAATTTCAGTAATACAGCTGATTTTATTCTCGAATGATACCTTTTTATCTGTCACCAACTTTGTAAATATTTTCAGCAATTTATCTATGAGGATTAAAAGAAATATTTTATTTATCTCCTGTCTCATTGACATAATATATATACTGTCAAGACACAATATGAAGAAGTAGCCTTGGAAGAGAATGCAAATGACATTAGAAGTTCTTTTAATTTTTCCAGTAAATTAAAGGGGAAAATAGGCAACTTGATTTAAAGCCTAATTTTAAATTATGTGACATTTATTCATTCATTCAGCAAATATTTAATAAGAAACAGCTACACACTAAGATCTGTACCAGGTACTTTGGAGAATATAAAAGATGAAGAAAACATTTTTTCTGATATCAAGCAGTTTAACCCTACAAACATGTAAAACAGTTAAGCCTCTGAAATACTAAAACACTGTGTGAAAACATAAGAAACTCTAACCAAGGAAACGAGTGGTGTGAAATGAGGCTGCAATACTATTTAGTAAGCTATAAAAGGCAGTGGATATGAATTTAAAGCCACACCCCACTAACCTCAAAACCCTAAGATTGACCTATTCAGATTTACAGAAGTGACTTACTATTTCATCTTCCATTTCTTGGTCAGCTCCTTCTAAATTTCCCTGGAGAAAAAGAGCTTTTTGCTTCTCTGCTATTTCATAGGCTGGAAGCATCTCATTCTCATTTTGGAGTGTATCCAGTTTTATACTAAAATGTTCCATCTTCACATCTTGGCTAACATTTTCAATGATGTCCACAGCATTTTCAGGACGCTTATCTAAGACCTTGGTCAGCATTTCAGAAAGATGATCATATCTACCCAAAAAGAGAAAATTCCAGATAATAACCCTGTCAAAAGCATTTGAAGAACATTTCATGCATTCTCAGTGGGTTTTTAGGAAACTTCAAGAACTCGAAGACTTTAGAGATTTTTAGTGGAAAAACACAGTAATTTCTACCACTGACAAGAAAAACTTTGAGCATAAAATAAATCAAAGCAAGTTCTCTCTTTTTTTTTTTTGGCAGTGCTGTGTGGCTTATGGGATCTTAGCTTCCTGACCAGGGATTGAACCCACATACCCTGCACTGGAAGGTGAAGTCTTAACCACTGGACTGCCAGGTTAGTTTTTTTTTTTTTCTTTAGTATCTGTATCTATCTCACAGATCTTAAGAATGTCAAAGAAAAATATGTAGATTATATGGGCAACCAATGTGAAGGCCAGTTTACAAATATTATATATGAAGAATATATTCTTTCTCAAAATATTGCTATTTTTATAAATGAACAGAAATATTATGACTGGCAAAAAAGAAGCAAGCAATTATTTTCTGTAGGGTTTTTATTCAACAATGTGAAATTTTGTATTTTAGGCAAATATTGTTTTAATTGCAACAACAACAAAAAAACAGCTTTCATGGCTGTCAAATAAGGTCTGCATATAGGAGATGGAGTTAAAGCTGTCCTTTACTAAAAGCCATTTTTAAATACAGGCTCTAAAGCACTTAGAAAATAATAGTGAATATTATGGAAGGTATTCATTTGTTACCTCAGAGACTTAATATTTGGAAATTAAATTAAATTTAGCTATTTAAGTAATGTCAGTTACAAAATCATTCAGTAAACGAAATTTTCCCGTTTTTTGTTTTGTATTCAGTTTTAAATTGTGAACTTTCAAGTGGTTATAATGAGCTCTTTTGGCATTTTATCAAAGTTTGTAAATTCATGCTTGTTATTTAACCCAGGGAATTGTGACAAGAAGTTTATATCAGTAATTCAAATAGAATCCACTGCTAAGCGGCAAATCACATCCCTGAAACGTAAGTAAATTGTAGTTAAAAACAGTAATTTATACATAATATTTTAATTTGGGTTTTGTGACGATTTCTCGCATCAAATATTCATTGGTTTCTTATTCTTCAGACTTTAAAATTATACCTCATATTTTTAAAAGCCAAGTAATAGCTGCAAACATTAGCCACGTACTGTATATTGAATGGGCATTCATTTAACGTTTGCTGATTAATCAGGAGGCATCTCAGCAAATTACATGGTGGATTAACTAGATTCAAAAGGTCCGGGCTGTATGTCCTGTACTTCTATTCATTCATTCATTCTTTATTCAGTAAACAGCTGATAGCACTGTGCTAGGCATTAAGTATATAGTGGTGTACAAAACTCACATGGTCCCTCACTCTGAAGGCCTGCACTTAAGTGGGAGAGTCAGACATTAAATATAAGTCTATAAGTCTATGTACAATTATAAATGGCCTTACGTGCTATGAAGGAAAGAACAGGCAGTTATAATAGAGTTCTGTGGAAGTTGACTTCTAAAAGATGAGAAGCCAGCCAGGCAAAGACTTAGAAAGACTTAGGGCAGAAGCCTTTCAGGCAGAGGGAGCAGCATGGGAACTGAAGAGGCCATGTGACTAAAGCATAGGGAGGGAAAGGTAAGAGTCAGTGAGTGCTGTAAGCCAGAGAAACCTTGAGCAAATTAATTTTTCCATGACTTAGTCCCCTCACTTAAAAAACAAGTGGATTGTATTAGATGTTTTCTCAAGTCCCTTCTAGCCCTAAAATTCTGTTGATTCTATTGTTATGTAACCCCGGCAGCAAGAATCTCTAGAAAATTATACTCAACGATAAGATCTGAATTTTAGCTATAATGGGATGGTCAGAACATTCCTGGGCCATTGATCACCACATTTTAAGAGATCTGGATAAAATGGCATGTATTTTTGGGTGGCCTGTATAGCGACCAATTCTCCTGGTTTGCCTAGGACTGAGAGGTTTCTCAGGATGCAGAACTTTCAGTGCTCAATCAGGACAGTTCCAGGTTAACGCAGGTAATCTATCACCCTAGCACTGGCCTGGGTGGGGACTCAAAACCAAGCCATATAAGCACTTAGAATGCTTAGATTTTGGTAGACAGTTCTTTTTTACAAGCATCTTGGAGAGATGCTTGGACTTCACTGTCTTTATGGTTTCTTTCAAACCCCAGACTCCACAATTCCTAGATTTTATTTCTGTGCACCTAGGGTCTTTAAAGAAGCTAGAGGAATCTCCACCAGTGACCTATTTTGAGTCCTATGATACAAAGAGTTATTAAGTCACTCTCTCACTCATACAGACTTTTCAGATATATTTCCATTCACCCACAGAAACACATCCCCACACAGAGATACTTTCCTTTGCCAAATTTCTCCCCCAACCCCCTTCCTCCAAGACTTACAGATTTAAGCCCGACTTGCTACTGGACTTTAGTAGGTAAGCCTTAGCATTCTGAATGGCAATCTCAAGCATGCTGGGGGCCACTTCAGAAGCCCCAGACTCAGGCTGATCCAGGTCATAGTTACTGTTTGAGTCTTCTTCTTGAAAAATGTCAAATCTCAGCTCTTTCCGTTTAGAGTTGTTGTAGCTCACATCCCTCGGTCCATACAGGTGACATTTGGTTTGCTGAGATTGATGAAAAGTGTTTCCCTCTGATTGGCATGTTTGATGAGGAGTTGATTCTCCGTTATCAGATGATTGTTCTAAATGGTCAAAGTGAGGTGTCCCAGCTTCAGAAATCACACTAGTGGTCTTGTCTGACTGCCATGGTGCCATAAGGTCCTGCACGGCCGGAGCCAGGGGAGAAGGAGTGGAAGAGGGCTCCTGAGATGGGGAAGGTGGAGATGACACACCTGGTCCTACGAGGTCATCCACAGGCGTGCTGGCTCCAGATTGGAGGATCCCAGGAGGGCTGCTTCTGGGCTGGGGTCCAGTTTCCGGCCCCTGCTCCAACTCTGAGGCCTCGGATAACGCAGGTTCAGGATCTTGGGAGGCTGTTACCATTTCTTCCCACGGCCGCCCTGTTTCCCCAAGTTCTTGGTGTTGTATTTTTTGTTTCAGGGGGGTCGAGTCTTCCATGGAAGGAGTCAAGAGAAAAAGAGTTCTGGATGAAGGGGGCGTGCAGATATGGAAGGAGGCAACGCAAGGCAGTGGCTTTGCTTAGGTCTGCTCGGCGATTTCTGGGTCCTAGTTGCTCTGCAAGTCGCAGCGTCCTATCTCCATAGCAACCCCAGGCAGGGTTCCCCTAAGAGAAATAACACATCTGTTGCCAGGATTCTAGGGAGGAGACCAAGAAAGATGAAAATCCTAGATCTGTGATTTGGTGGAGCCTCTGCTCCTCTACCTAGCTCAGCCAATCCAATCTGCAGTCCATCAGTCGCGGTTGGAAACCTGAGAACAGGTCCGACGCAGAGAGGAGGAGCCGCGACCCGGCGGGATGATTTTCAGGGTCTGATAGTTTGATTCAAGTTGCACGTTGAGGAGTGAGTCCTGCATTAGTGGAGGGACAATACATTTACAGAGCTTGTGTGTGTGTGTGTGTGTGTGTGTGTGTGTGAGAGAGAGAGAGAGAGAGAGAGAGAACGAGAGAGGGAGGGAGGGAGAGAGAGAGAAAGGAGGGATGGAGGGACGGAGCGAGGGGGAGACCTTGGTAATGTTGAGGTGCAGGTGACAATGAGACTCTAGTGTGCAGAACATCAGAGTCCAAGACTCAGAGGGCAAAGGTTTCTCATCTGTGCCAACCAAACTTGGGCAACTTTTGAACAATAAACAAGGAAGTCCTGATTTTTGCTCTTCTCCCTCATGTGGAATCTGCCAGATGAGTAGGCAGAAAATTACCTTCAAGGAGAAGGCAGTGCAGAAGCTTACCCTATATAAATAGACAATTCATGGGTTACCTGTTTCCTAATAATTGAAATTCAAATTAACCCTAAAGCTATATTAGTATAGTGTAATCTTTATTTGATAATATGAATGTGAATTCATAATTTTGCAATATTTAAGATCATGACTATTAATTCATATTATTCCATCTCCAACATAAAGAAGGTATAGAGGATGGAACCATATCTGGCCTTGACTAAAAACTGTAAATTAAAGCCTTTTTTTTAAGATTATAATTTAAAAAAATTTTTTTGGCCCGGGGCTTGTGGGATTTTTAGTTCCCTGACCACGGGCAGTGAGAGCAGAAGAGTCTAACCACTGGACCACCAGGGAATTCCCTAATTAAAGTCTTTAATGTTAATTTGTTCTGTATCTGTCTCTCTTTTAAAATAAACCAGTTAATACTTGATATAACTTCCAATTAGCAACATGTTGGTCATAAATTCTAATTTCATGAAAGAGCATCATACTTACCTCCCACCCCCAATTTGGTGGGAGAAGCACAGAACTCTTCATTTGTTCAAAGCTGTGGATATTTACCCTTCCCAAAATACACATGGGTGTGCACACACCAAATGTTGCATGTAATTTCTTCTGGTTCAGGGTCTCCTTGAAGTCAGAGTCCCAGATTAGAACTCTTGGAATAAGACTCGGAAAAACAAAATGAAAGGTAAACTGGAATTATAAATTGGAGATTTTTTGTAATTGATACAAGGGTTGAAGGGGGGATAGCATTTTTTCCCCATCATAGCTCTATTTTCTCCACCTTTGAAGCTGACAAGATATGATCGAGGCTTTTTTCTTGGACTGACAAGCCAGAGCAGGGTGGTAGGACCAGAAGAAAGGCATGATAAGGAACAGTTTTTTGCATCTATATTCATGAGAGATCTTAGTCTGTAGTTTTCTTTTCTGCAATTTCTTTGTCTGGTTTTGTTATTAGAGTAATTCTGGCTTCATAGAATGAATTAGGAAGTATTTCCCCTGCTTCTATTTTCTGGAAGAGATTGTAGAGAATTGATCAAATTCACCTGTGAACCCATCTGGGCCTGTTTTCAAAGATTATTAATTATTGATTCAATTTCCTCATATATATGCCTATATATGTGTGTGTGTGTTTTGGCAGACTGTGTTTTTCAAGGAATTGCTCCATTTTATCTAGGTTATCAAATTTACGAGCATAGACTTGTTCATAGTATCTTCTATTATCCTTTTAATGTCCATGGGATTTCTAGTGATGTTACATCTTTTTTTTTTTTTTTTTTTTTGCGGTATGCGGGCCTCTCACTGTTGTGGCCTCTCCCGTTGCGGAGCACAGGCTTCGGACACGCAGGCTCCGCAGCCATGGTTCACGGGCCCAGCCGCTCCACGGCATGTGGGATCTTCCCGGACCAGGGCACGAACCCGTGTCCCCTGCATCGCAGACGGACTCTCAACCACTGCACCACCAGGGAAGCCCCCCCTTGGAACTTTTTAATGATCAGTGAAGTTTTAGTTTCCTAAGCTGTTGGAGGGGATGCCCTATTCCAATAATGGTCTGCCCAAAATTTTAACTAAAGGTGAAATGGAGAAACATTTTAGAAAGACCTGTATAATTGTGATGTCGTAATTTGTTCCTCTTCTTCACTCCAAGTAATCAATTCATTTTTTTCATTTTGTCATTTTGGATCTCAAAGAATTGAAGTAATTGGGAGCACATCATATCATCACATGAAATTGTACCATGTTATATTACCTAGGTCTGTCTGCTGAGGGACCTGGAAGCAATGAGAAGTCAGAGCAATGAGCATACCTAAAGCATACCTAAATCAGTCACAATCAATGACTGATTGCAGTGGAGTGGCAAGGAAAGTACAAATGAGCCTAGAACATCTTCCTATATCAGAAAAAACTGAAAGAATACTGGAAACATATCAAAAGCACACCAGAGCCAACTGGGACTTATTGCAACTGACAAATTCTGGGACATTTAAAATATTAAATAAAGGTAGTACAGATTGTACTGTTTAAATAAAAAAGATGACATGAGCCTAATACGAGGCATAGGCAAACTTTTCGGTAATGGGCCAGTAATTGTTTTAGTTTTGCGGCCCAAATATTATGTGTTTATATAACAAGAAAGAAAAAAGTTTCTACAGCTTTTCTATTATATTTTATTCAAACTAGATTATAATTTATAATAATTCTTTGTAATATATGTCTACTAAAGACAAGGGTAGACTCACAGATGTTGGGAGACAGTTTACAGTCTTAGGTATGTTTATTTTCTATAGACGTGTTTCTTTAGATGCTTTACTCAAACTCTAATCAACCCAACATCAATAAATAACTTATTTTGCTTGGCTAACAAATGAATCACTGCATATTTATTTTGATTGCAGTCTCATTTTTTATTTTTGTGAAGCGACTTTGTTGAGATGAAATATTCTGTTTAAAATTTTATATTTTTTCTGTCCATTTCTTTCCTCTGCTTTGCGAGTATTGCGATTACTGCTTAGTGTGGTTATATTAATGCATATCGTATTCTTTTAGCTTAGCTATAGTGTCATTGTGTAATAAACACGATGTTTTACCTATTCTTCTATAAAAGTAATCCATTCTCCACTGTGCCTTAAAAGCATGACATTCAAATCTACTTTTCTTGTTTCTTCATAATGAGCATGTACTGGTAATAAAAAGTAAAATATTGAAGTATGGCCATACATACTCTGAAAGGCTGTTTCTTTATAATGACATCATTGTAATTATGCTTATTATTTGTTTATGAATTATTTCATCAGTTTTATTAATATATGACAAAATACATTGAAAATCACTAATCACATGCACACAGCCTGATAAATATTCACAAAGTGACCACACCTATGGAACCAGCACTAAGATGAAGAAACAGTATTACCAAGACCACAGGAATTCTGTCATTTGCCTTACCAGTTACTATACCACTCCTATAGGTAACTTCTCTTTTTCTAAACCCATAGATTATTTTAACCTATTTTTTTATCTTACGTAATGTTTCATGCAGTAAGTGTCTAGCCTTTTTTCCACTCAATAGTACGTTTCTGAGATTCGTGTATGTTTTCAATGTGGTTGTAATTCATGCATCCTTAGTAATGTACACTGTACATAAACATTGAGTTCTTTCCTTTGTTGATTGCTGTGGATAGTGGTGCCTTGAAATGTTGATGATTGTAAGTTTACTAATTTTTTCCTTTAAGTTTCTTCCATTGATTTATGCTTCACAGGTTTTTTCCCATTTGGGAATTATGATCAGATTCACTTGTATTTTTCTAGTTATTCAAAATGATTTTATCTTAAATTATTTAACCAGTAAATACATATGGAATTAGTTTAGTGACTGAGATGTTATGGATAAAAGTATTTTTTCAACCAATAGTTAAATGATAGAACCATTAGATGATTATTTCACCTTTGAACCTCTGCTCTTTCATGTAAACTTTGTGATCTGGTAAATTATTAAATAGATGCATGTGTTTCATGTGAGTTCTCTATTTTGACATTCACGTTTGGTTAAAACCAAAGAATAAAGTTCACTTAGAAGGATAAAGGATTTTTACTTTTTAATCCCACATTTATTTGTAGATAAAGGAAAAGTACACACTACAGAAAACTCTCTCAAGGGATTTACAATTCATGCTGCATGCTTTCTGTTTTTCCCTTTATCTTACAGGCTACTAATGCAGAGAATCTCCCAAATCATTTTAATGTTTGAAATTTCAAAGTGTTTACAAAACTCATGGCAACGAATGTAAGCACTGTTCACTAATTTTGTTTACTAATAAAGTTTTATAATCAACATTAGCATGAGAAGTATGTATTAAAATATATATTTAAATATGCCCACAAATTTAGTAGATTTTTTATGATTCTTTTGCATTGATTCTACTCCTCATTTATGTCCCAGATAAAATTCAAGGGAAAATATTTCATCTTCCTTTGGAATACTCTGTCAAATGTTTCATTTTGCTCCACGGTCAAGTGATGTTTCCAGTCTCCGATGGTACCTAGTGGGACAAGCACATCAACAACAACTGGGTAAGAAATAGCACTATGAGGGCAAAAAGTTCCTCCAACCCACTTTAATCTCTTCTCCAACTTACTTCAGGCTGTTCTCAAGCCAGCTGTTAGTTCTCCATAGGCTTTGATACTTCACTTTCCTTTTACAGTTATCAGCTGAGAAACAAATTTAGGACGTAGTAAGGCTGAAAATAGGATTATAGTCCACTTCATTATCAGTTAGACTTCCAACAGCCACTACCATTAAATTATAACATTTCTTTAGGGAAAAAAAACCTTAAAATATATGAAGAGATTTGAAAACTTAAATATGTTTTACTAAATGCCAGGTACCATACTTGGCAAACTACATCTATCATGTAATATTAATTCTTAATACAACCCTTAAAACAAATCAGCAACGTATTATAAGGATTATGCACCATGATCAAGTAGAATTTACTTCTGGGATACAAAGATGGGTCAACGTATATCAATTAATTAATGTCATACCACATTTACAGAACAAAGGGAAGAAAACCTCATGATCATCTCAATAGAGAAAAAGCATTTTATAATATCCAACACCTTTTCACGATTTAAAAAAAACTCAAAAAATAAAGAATAGGGAGAAACTAAACATAAAAAGTCATATATGAAATAGCTACTGCTAACATCATAATCAATGTTTGAAGACTGAAAGATTTTCCACTAAGATCATGAACAAAGCAAGGATGCCTATTCATGCCATTTCTATCTAACATAGTACTGGAAGTCCTAGCCAGAAAAATTAGCTAGAAAAAGAAATAAAAGGCATCAGTTGGAAAGGAATAAGTAAAATTGTCTCTGGTCACAGACAACATGACTTTATACATAGTAAAACCTAAAGATTCCACACAAATATTATTAGAAGCAGTAAACAAATTCACAAAGTTGCATGATGCAAAACCAGCAGACAAAAATCAGTTGCATTTCTATACACGAGCAAGGAACAATCCAAAGAAAAAAATTCACAAAACAGTTCGATTTAACATTGCATTAAAAAGAATAAAATATTTAGGAATAAACTTAGTCAAGGAGGTTAAAACCTTGTATACTGAAAACTACAAAATAGTGCTAAACAAAACTAAAGAACCCAAATAACTAGACAATATCCCTTGTACATAAATTGGAAGATATAATAATGTCAAGATGTGAATACTACCCAAAGTGATCCACAGATTCAATGCAATCTTATGCAGTAGTCCACTAATATTTTTTGCACATAGAATAAATAATTTACTATAAAATTCACATAAAAATCTCAACAGACTCTGAATAGCCAAAACATTCTTGAAAAAGAACAAAGTTGGAGGCATTAGATCTCTTGATTTCAAAACTTACCACCAAATCAGTTATCAAAATATTGTGGTACTGACATTAAGACAGACAAATAGATCAATAGAACAGAATACAGAGTCCAGAAAGAAATTTTCACAATATCAAGCAAAATGAATTTTGACACAGGAATCAAGACCATATGATGGGGAAAAGACAGCCTTTTCAATAAATGCTGTTGAGTAAACTGGATATCTACATGGAAAAGTGTATAAAGTTGGGCTCCTACTTATACCATATCGAAAAAATTAACTCAAAAAAGGAATATATTTAAACATAGATATTTTACCAAAGAAAATATGCAGTAAATCAAAAAGCACATGAAAAGATACTCAACATCACTAATCATTAGGTAAATACATGTCAAAAACCACAATGAGCTACCACTTCACACCCATTAGGATGGCTAGTTACAAAAAAATTAAAATTAAAAAAATAACAAGTGTTGGTGAGAATGTAGAGAAATTGGAACCATCGTGCACTGTTTAGTGGGAATACAGAATGATGCAGTCACTATGGAGAGTAGTTTGAATAGTATGGTGGTTCCTCAAAACATTAAAAATACAGTTACCATGTAATACAATAATTCTGTGTGAGGGTAGGTACTCAAAAGAACAGAAAACAGGGACTCAAACAGATAGTTGCACTCTTATGTTCATAACAGCATTATTCACAATTGTCAAAAAGTGGAAGCAACCCATGTATCCATCCATGGACAAACGGATAAATAAAATGTGGTATATAAATACAATGGAATATTTTTCACCATTCAAAATGTAGGCAATTTCACAACATGGATGAATCGGGATGGTGTTATGCTAACTGAATTAAGCCAGTCAAAAACGTTTAAATACTCACTCACATGAGACCTTAGTATAGTAAAATTTATAGTGACATAAAATAAAATGGTGCTTGCCAGGGGATAGGAGGATGGGAGAATGGGGAGTTACTGACTTGGAGTACGAGTTTCAGTTTTGCAAGATGAAAAAAAAAAAACCTGGAGATGGGTGATGGTAATGGTTGCCCAACAATGTGTAGTTAATGGCGTGGAACTGTATGCTAAAAATGATTAAAACAGTAAATTTTATGTTGTATTCTGATACAAGTTTTAATAAAACTATTGAGGGGGGAAACTGGAAAGAGAAACACCATGAACAATGGAAGTTCATCGGAAAGAGAGATTTAATTTATCTTGGAAAAGAGAGCAATTTTCAAGGAAAAAAGAACATTTCTTCCAATTCAAGTGGAAAGATAAGAAATGTCCCTGAAAAAGCTGGAAAATTCCTTTGAAAATGTGAAAGTAAGTTCCAAACTACAGAAACTTGAAATATTTTCCATATTCAACAAAAATTGAACTTCACTGTCCTTGGTACTCGATAGACTCACAAGAAATTTACCTGGAGATGCAGGTTGGAGACAAGATGAATCGTCTTCTACGCCTGATGAGTACCTTAGTATTTATAATTTAAGCAAATTGTATTCCCCTTGTAGTCAGTGGAAAAGGTTGAGTGTGATGGGCTGAGTAAAATAACAGAACCCTCGTTATCAAATTATTTCTTCAAATAATGTTTGTATACAGTAACTAACATAAAATCAAGACATGCAAGTATTTGAAGATATAAGAAAATGTAGCTAAAAACAGCAGAAACTAAGACAATAGAAATGAATGAAGATATTACACATACTGCAATTATCTGAAATAATTCAATTACTATGCTATGATATTCAAGGTATCAAAGACAAAATTTAAATTAAAATTTGACAGAACTGGAAACTATAAAAAATAATATAGCAGATTTACAAGAGATCCCAATGCATGAATAGAAATGAAGAACTTGGTGAGATTTACATTCTAGCCAAAAATATTGGGTTGAAATTACTATATAAAGTAAATCTTATTATCTGAACAGTAAAAATGTATACAGTTTTAAAACATAAAAATCGAAGTGACTGCCTAGATGAACTAAATCAAAATTGCATACCCTGAACGCTATTTTTTTTTCACTTGAACAATGGTTGCATTGGTGTTCACTTTGTAGATTCATTATTATGTACACATATGGTCATGAGCTTGGGTAATTTATTTTACTTGATAATTTAAGTTTTTTTTTTTAAAAAAGAGAGCTAGCATAGGAGACAACAGAAAGACTGGATTATTCACAAATATGAGTTTCAGCAGTAAAATCCTGAGGATTCCTGCTAAATATTGCCAGAGATCTCTGACATGTGTCTGCCGGGCTTTCTGCCTGCATTTTAGGAAAAGTAGAAACTCCATGACCCACTGTAAGGAGTTCCTCAAGCATTGCTTGTGTTCTGGAGAGAATCTGATGGGAAACTACGTTGTTTTAAATAAGGATGCAGATAATTTAACGGTGACCAGAATAATGCTTATAAATTAGCAATAATAAACAAAAGATTCACTTATCTGCTTATTCAAAAGCAGATCATCTGAGGATATGGTGGTAACTGGCCATTTAGCCATGACTACCACATGATTTTTCCTCGACTTTTACCAAGAGTTAATAAATAACACTCTCCTTTGTTATGTTTTTACAGTGCTATATCCTCTCTCTCAACAACTTTCTCTTCATATCATTAAAAAATTAAAGTGATACTAGTTTATGTTAATATTTACTTCTTTAAGTAAATTAATCATTTGAGAGTGCTTTACAGCTACATAGTCAGTATTTGTTGGCCCAAGCAATACATCTTCCCATTGTGGTCTGTCTTATTTGTATTTAAATCCATGACTGTTTTGTTATATGGTCAGTGGCAATTAAGCTTTCTGATGAATTTTAAAGGCCAAAATTCTTGTAATGATCTTTTCAGTAAATTAGCATCCATGTAATCCTTAGATTGCAAAAATAAAAACAGGTTTATTCATGGGGATTATCCCAATAAAATTTAAAATCTTGATATCAGTTTAGTAAATAAGGCAGCTCCAATTATATTTTGTGCTTTAAAAGGAAAGTTTCTCAGACTCACAGGCATAGACAGACTTGTAGCTGCCAAGGGGGAGGGGGCTGAGGGAGGGATGGAGTGGGAGGTTGAGGTGAGCAGATGTAGGCTATTATATATAGGATGGATAAACAACAAGGTCCTACTGTATAGCACAAAGACCTGTACTCAATATCCTATGATAAACAATAACGGAAAAGAATATTTAAAAAATGTCTATATACATGTATAACCGAATCACTTGTTTTACAGAAGAAATTAACACAACATTGTAAATCAACTCTACTTCAATACAAAATTATAAATAAGGCTGTGATAAACATGAAAAAATAAAGTTTCTGATCTTTCTATTACTATTTTGTGACTAGTTCAAGATGAAATGGCTATTATACTTGAGAATATAGCTAATTAAAACATGCTTTTTGGTGAGACTGTTATTTATTTGCCATCATTGTATCCAAGTCTTGTTTTTTCCCTCCATTTGAGGCCTAGGAGTGGAAGAAATAATAAAAGGAGAATTTATTAATGAGACAAACGATATGTGATTGAACTGAGGGCTATCGTGAAAATTTTAGAGTAAGTGACAACCTTAGGCTAAATTACAGAAAGCTCTTACTTCCTTATACTACACTTACTTTGGTGTGGAAGGCAAGGGGGAAAGTAATTTACCTCTAAATTTAGAATTTATATAGGGACCACATTAGTGTAAAATGGTTGTTGTATTCTGAATTGTATATCACATGAACTTTCTCTGGGCTCTTTTAACAGCTTTATTGGGAGAATATTTATTTAATTTTAAAAATTTTTCTTAATTGAAGTATAGTTAATTTACAATGTTGTGTTAGTTTCTGGTGTACAGCAAAGTGATATATATATTCTTTTTCATATTATTATCAATTATAGGTGATTATAAAATATTGAATATTGTTCCCTGTGTTATACAGTAAGACCGTGTTGTTTATCTCTTTTATATATAGTAGTTTGCATCTCTTTTATATATAGTAGTTTGTATCTAACCCCAGACTCCTAATTTATTCCTCCCCTATCCTCTTTCCCCTTTGGTAACCATAAATTTGTTTTCTAAGTCTGTGAGTCTGTTTCTCTTCCGTAAATGTTTATTTGTATCATATTTTAGATTCCATATATAAGTGATATCATATGATAGTTGTTTTTCTCTTTCTGGCTTACTTCAGTTAGTATGATAATCTTTACTCTAAATAGCATTATTTCATTCTTTTTTATGGCTGAGCAGTATTCAATTGTGTATAAATGCCACATCTTCTTTATCCATTCATCTGTTGATAGACACTTAGGTTGCTTCCATGTCTTGGCTATTGTAAGTGCTGCTATGAACGTTGAGGTGCGTGTATCTTTTCAAATTAGAGTGTTCTCTGGATATATGCCCAGGAGTGGATTGCTGGATCACACGGTAATTCTATTTTTAGTTTTTTAAGGAACCTCCATACTGTTTTCCATAGTGGCTGCACCAATTTATATTCCTTTCAACAGTGAAGGAAGCTCCCCGTTTCTTGGGGGAAATTAATATACCATAAAATTCATCCCTTTTGTGTGTAAGATTCAATGATACTTAGTCATTTACAGAGTTGTGCAACCATCAGCACAATTCAATTTTAGTACAATTCCATCAACTCCCCAAAGTCCACATGTCCTGTGATAGTTAATCCCCATTCTCATGCCCCAGACCAGGCACATACTCAACTACTTCTGCACCCATTGATTTGTCTTTTTCTGGACATTGAAGTTCATTCATGCTGTAGCATGTATCAAGATTTTGTTCATTTTTATTCCTGAAGGGTATCAAGGTATGGATACACCACATTTTGTCTATCCACTAGTTGATAGACATTTGAATTGTTTCCACTTTTCGCTACAGTGATTAATGTTGCTATGAACATTCATGGGCAAGTCTCTGAGAGGACATATATTTTCATTCCTTTTGGGTAGACATCTAGAAGTAGAAATGCCAAACTGTTTTCTAAAGAGACTGTCCATTTACATCCCCACCATATGTGCGGATTCCCATTTCCTTATATCTTTGCTGATGCTTGTTCTTATCAGTCTTTTTTGTTGTAGACATTATGGGGGTATGAAATGGAATGTCTTTGTGCTGCAGAAGATTCAAGAATATTGTAAAGGATTATCAAATCAAAATATTAAGTAATAGTGCTGTGCAGAACCACACTGAGGCAAGAAAGAAAGTCAGTACTTATTTAAAATTTGGATATTTGTTTACCATCAATTTTACATTAATTTTTATATTTTTAAGTATTGCACTAAAATAGTATTTATCTGGATTGCTGAGTTTTTGGTGCCTCTTTAAATCTTCACCTAAGGTAAGTGCCTCAGTCACCTCCCTGTACTCCATGGTAGTTCAAAAAGGCACTCAGGGTTACCTGGCGTCCATCACCAAGAACATTAAGTAGAAAGGCCTGGAGGTGGCGTCACATAGAGCTTTCAGGTAAGGAAACGTTTTTGCATAAATGAAGGTGCTCAATGGACAAGTAAAATGAAGCCATATTATTGACAGCCTCAACCAGATACTTAATATAAATAATAAGAAACCTGAAAATTATTGGAATGTGAGCTGCTACCACATGCCCAAGGTGTTAAAAAATAGGTAATTGGCTTTGACCATAGCAGTGTAAACATATTTAATGTGATATAATCATTAAATGAATATGAAGTATACTCCAAATTTGGTGGTATCTTTTTTTATTTTAAGCATTTTATTTGGTTGTATCTTTAATATATTGATTCTTGTGGAACTCTGACTATTTTGAAAATATGGATCCAGAACATTTACCACCTATAACTTTTGAATATATATATTTTTAAACTTCTTAATATTAATTTGGATGTGTCTTCTAACATTAAAATTTCGTCCTTATAGCATGTGATGAATTCATGCCTATTTATCTAAAGGCCCTTAAGAAGTTAGGACCTGTTACCAAATGTGTTTGCTTTAAAAGGTAAAGATTAATGCTAACGTCTTTAAAACTGTCACAAAAGGAAAGGGTTAGGCACATTCTCAAAGGTATTTATTTAATGTCTTTTTTTTTTTTTTTTTGCTATTATCAACTAGTTTTGTGGGATTCTACTTGAGATAGGAAGTGTCTCTGTGTACACGTAATTTTTTACATTGGGAGGTTGGGATTTCTCTCTTTCTGACATTGGTGCTCAATTCATAATGAATCAACACACTTTGAGGCTGCCCGAGGGAGCTTGAACAGAAGGGGGGAAATTTGAAGATTTAATATTTAATCCTGAATATTTTAGTCCACCACAAAATTTAACACATTTCTCAGTATGAAAATGTATGAGGTGGTTCTGATGAAACAGAGGTGAAAATTAGAATAATAGGTTCTTCTACTAACGGTGGGAGCTTGAAAAAAATTCACATAACCTCTGATCCTCAGTTTTCTCACCCAGAAGATGAAAATCCTGTATATGAAAAATATATTTAAAAAGGAAAATTAATAAACAAATTCAAAACTGGTCAGTTAACAGTGAACTTCTTCACAGGGCTTTGTCTACAAATCCAGCCCACCTTTCCCACTTGCACCTTATTCCACCTGCTCTACACAGCCAAATTACAGTAAAGAAGTCTACTGCTGTGGACTGAATGTTTGTGTCCCCCCAAAATTTATATATTAAATTATAACCCCCATGGTGATGATGTTAGGTGTTAGGGCCTTTGGGAAGTGATGAATGGGATTAGAGTCCTTATAAAAGAAGGCCTTGGAATCTCCCTTGCCTCTTCTGTCATGTGAAGTACAGAGAGAAGACAGCCAAGAAAGCAGATTTCACCAGACATGAATCTGCCCTTGTCATAACCTAATAAAGTTAGTTTTACAACATGCTTATAGATTCCTGATTGAACTTTTTAAAAATAAACTATGTTAACTGTTTTCACGGAAAGTTTAGGAGACATACACACACACACACACACATCAGATAGCTCCTCTGATCAATACAAAGAAGCCATAGATCAATGTCACAAAGTGTGGCTGAAGACCCCCCCACAAATCTCAGTCTTCGGGACCTCACCCAAAACCTGAGAAATTAGAATCTCTGTGGGGTGGAGCCTTGAAATCTGTCTTTTCACACACTCACCCGGACATTTCTATACACTTAACATTTCAAAAAACTGCTGTTACAGTATATGTGTATTTAGTTTGGAAGAGAACTTTGTCTCACTAACAGAAGGTCATTTGGGGAAGGTAAAGTCTCAGATGATTTGTGTAAAAAATGGTAAGAAATATGTTTTTCATATTGACAGGAGCATCTACATATATATATATTGTGAAACAACTAAACCAGTTAATCAACTGGAATATAATAAAATATTGTTCAGGGTTACATATCAGAAATCTTGGTTCTTCCACAGATGAATTTAGGTTCATCAGTTTACCTCTCTTCTTGGAATACATGATAGTTCAATAAAATTACACATAAAAGTGCTTTCTATGTTAACAGGACAACAGGAGGACACTTAAGGAACATGTTCAGATGAATGAGTTTATATGACAAAGTGTGTCACATTTTGGAAATAATTAGGTAAAATACTTGTGCTATTTAGGGTCATGCACTTGGGCTAGCTAATTTAATTATATAGGTTGTGACTCACTCTCTCACTTAAGACCCATGATTTCCTGCAAATGTATTTGAGGGTTAAAAATAGCAAGAGTGAAATTCCAACTCCAAAGTGTCAGTTGGCATTTAAGTCTACAGTTGAAAGATAGACAAGCGAACTCTTCAGAGTTGGAGGGTGGTCACCATAATTGGTCAATTACAGCAGCTAAGAGGGTAGCTATGGTAATACACTTTAATACAAATCATCCTTTAAAATTGGGTTAACAACTTTCTTTCCTGAATAAGAAGGATATAATAGGTCATGAGAGGCCAATGCTCCCATGGTGAAAACCAGTAAAAAACAGGTAAAGTACAAAAATTAAATTTAAAAATCCCTTAGATCTCTGGAAACTATAATTACTAGATAAACTAAAAGTCTAGAGAGGAAGAGCCCTTTGTAGGTGAAGCATCATTAGTTGTCTTTTCAGGGTGCATGTGCCAATTCTGGGCTTTTGGGCCAGAATTTGAAACTTTAGGGCAGCAGGAGATTATAAAGAACTAAAATCAGCACTTCCAAAAAGGAGAACTAAATACTCCCATTTTTAAGGACTCATGAAAGATACTTACTGGGCAGTCAGTGGAAGGAGGATAAACCAAATGTAGACTTGAATTATATTAAAATAGCAACTCAGTCCCCAAACAACTTAATCCTTGAAAATGAGCTAAAAGGCAAGAAAAGAATATCAAAGAGTTTCCAGTTCTACAGTCAGACCAGGTTTTGCATCATAATGCTAATGCTTACTAAATATTTGCCCTTGGGAAATTTAGTTCACCTCCCTACACCTCTTGTTTTCTTATTTAGGAAATGGCACTTACCTCATTCATTTTTTGTTAATAATAAAGGAGATAATTCATGTGAAAATCTAACTCCATTCTGGTATGCAGAAGGTGCCAATATTTATTTATTTTTACATCTTTATTGGGGTATAATTGCTTTACAATGGTGTGTTAGTTTCTGCTTTATAACGAAGTGAGTCAGTTATACATATACATATGTTCCCATATCTCTTCTGTCTTGCGTCTCCCTCCCTCCCACCCTCCCTATCACACCCCTCTAGGTGGTCACAAAGCACCGAGCTGATCTCCCTGTGCTATGCGGCTGCTTCCCACTAGCTATCTACCTTACGTTTCGCAGTGTATATATGTCTATGCCTCCCTCTCGCTTTGTCACAGCTTACCCTTCCCCCTCCCCATATCCTCAAGTCTGAAGTAAGTCAGAAAGAGAAAGACAAATACCGTATGCTAACACATATATATGGAATTTAAGAAACAATGTTTATTTTTTTAAGCACAAGATTTCATTTCCATTGCTAATCCAAACCCTGTTTGAGAAGTAAAAAAGGAGAAAGGAGGAGAAAAGGAACGTTTCTCTTCAGACCTATAACATTCCTAAGCCAACACTTGTGGAAGTTACGAGCACTTCAATCAAAGGAGTTCAGAAAGACGGGAGGTGTTGAACCAGGGGTGGAGCACAAGGGATGAGAAATTCTTTTCTATGCAAGAATCAGAGCCTTTTATATCCTAGTTTAAAGCAGCACCTTATGAAAATCACTGTTTTTCTTAAGAAAGATAAACAGAGTGATGAGCAATTGAAATGAAAGCAAGTTAGGCAGCCAGCCTTCCTACGTTGGCCATGAATCAGCAGAGTGATACAAGTGAGTGCAGAATCTGATGGTTGGAGCTGGTGGCATCCACTCCACTGCTGGCCTCAGACTAAATGCATTGCTTCTCCTTCAACCAGACTTAATACCAGAAACCCAGATTACAGAGGAGCAGGCAAAAATCCAGGTGCAGAAGTAAGCAGTTAGAAATGTAACTGAAAAAATATCCTATTCACAATAGCTAGAAATACTATCTAGCTAGAAATACATGCTTAAGAATAAACTTAAGAAATGAGCAAGGCTTTTATAAGAACTAAGCTCTTTATCAAATGATCTGAAAGAAAATACAGATAAATTATGAGCATACAATATTTCTGGTGGGAAGACTCATTTGTAATGATGTCAGATTTTAAATTACTTTTTAAGTGTAAAGCAGTATTTAAAAAATTCCAACATTATTCCTTATGAGAGTTTAATAATTTATTTTAAATTAAAATGTCAATTCCTTGGAAAGAAAAGTATATCAGCAGAATAATGTGTCATTATACATGAGTCAATTATGTACATATAAATATTTATAAATGATAATGTCTCTTTTTATCAGTAAGTTAATGATGGACCATTCAATAAGTGATGTTGGGTCAGTTTGTTATCTATATCAAAAAATTGTTTTCTTACAACATAAGAATAATATCCAGAGTAAATAAACATATGATTTGTAAATACATGAAAATATTTGAATAGCGATCCTTCTAATTAAATCTCAGAAGCTAAAGGCCATAAAATAAAAGATCGATTCATTTGACTATATGAAAATTAAAATTTTAAATATGAAAAAGATCACAACCAGTGTTTTTTTAATTGACATGAATTCTATTTCAGGATAACGAATTCATCAGATTTTATGATCTCTTTTGCTCAAGAACTCAGGAATTACTAAAAGTAAAGTAAAAGTATTCCATAATTATATGCCAAAACAGTAAGAGGAATCCACTTTTAATCTGAAACTGAGGAATCCCTGGAAATGAACAGGCTACAGATGCCAAAGATGTAAATACACTATATTAATATTTATTATTCACTGAGGTTTTTCAGAAATGATCCAATGACAGTTAAAGATTAAAGTCTGTAATTAAATGTATTTTTTCTGAAAGTGCTATATAGGAGTTTTTTTGTGCTGAGCTTAGAATTCTATTCTTAATTTATATCCCAGGTGAACTTAAAGGAAATCCTTCATCTTCCTGTGGAAAAGCTTGTGAAATTTGGATTCTGCCCCAGATTCATGTGATCTTCTAGTCTCCAATTGAATATGAGAAGAAAAACAAAAAGATGGCTTCAGTGAAGCTTTGGGAGAACAGGAACATGATAGCTTAGTGTTGGATAAAACATTATTTTCCCAATTTTATTTTTATTTCCACTAAGTTCCTAGTTACTCTTCCACATAGCCATGGCTCTGCCACCTTATGGCAAGAAGGCAAACTTATCATTGGAATTATACTATTGTTAGATTTAATTAGCCTCCCTACTCAGCTGTCAGCCACCTGGGAAAAAGGAAAATTAATAAAATAGGATCACAAAATTTTCCAGGCTAACATTGGTTATTGTATCTTACAGTCCTTTAAAAATTCCATAAGATCATATATCATTGAGCTAACATTTACTGATGAGGGCAAGCAAGGGACAAGACCAGATATCTTTGAGCTAATATCTACTGATGAGGACATGGGTGGTCAGAGAGGTTATAAAAAGCAGCCCACATTTACACAGTTTATAATGGCAGACTTGAATTCACTCCATCATTTCCTTATTTAAGTATGAGACAGCCTTAAACTAAACTTACAGAGATACAAAGTTGCCATGACAAATAGAAGCTGATAGGAGAGGCCAGAAAAGAAGCACTGATTTTAGAAACACACTGAATTGAGAATAAACAACTAAAATAAACTGAAACACTGAACAAATGGAAAACACAAACAAAAACCTAGTGCAGGAGTGGAAAAGCCAATGCAAATTATGTTCAGCCAGGTAACCCCCAAGAGAGAAGTGTTTGTGTATCTGCAGAGTAACCATGGGTATATGCTTCACTTCCACAAAGATATTTTGCTCCTACTATCAATATTTTTCTTCTTAGCCATTTCAGTCTCTAATTTTCAGGTTTTGTTAAAGTCATAGAAACACAGAAAGTTTTCTTTTTTCAAAAACCAAAACATGCAAAGCAGTTGACAATCGCCTTAGAATCTTGAACACAATAGAATGTGCTGGGGCAAACAGGAAAGAATATGTGCCCTCATCAGGTAGGCTGCATTGTTACCAGTGCTTCATATTTTCAAGAAGAGGGAAAGAGACAACCTGAGAGGAAAGGAAAGAAATACTAACTTAGAGAAGTCAAAGTCAACATTTATTGCTATTTGACATAGAGGCATATTACCCTATAATTAATTGCAATATCAATGTCTATAATTCTATTATTACACATTTTCTATGTACTAAGAAGATCATAGAATATAATTTAGAATGATTGTATAAAATAATAAAAATATTTTAACGTTCATATTTATCAGTCTCACAAAGAATTTATTCTAAACACTCAATTACCATGTAAATGAGATGTTACTATAAATTTCTATGATACGAGATTCTGGTGTAATGAAAAACATGTAATAATCCCTTCCAATAAGAAAAGAAGTACAAATTTTGCTGTTAATTCTCCCCGGGCGGAGGTTCAGGACACACCACTGAGGTGATGTAAGAGCAGCCAGTGATGGCCAAAAGATCCTGTGGCCAATGTCAGTGAGGCAACAAGGTAAACAGGAAATGAACAATAGTTTTGCCTCCAGCACGGCTCTAAGCACTGGTAGATTTTCAAGAGCCAGGCAGTAGACCAGGTGATTTTAGGTTACTGATCAGATACCTTCAGGAAGCAAATAATGTAGTCTCATGAAGACCACCAGGCAGAAATATTGGAAAATAAACTGTCTAGAGAAGGGAAGGGGACCATGGGGGCTCCCGTTTTTGGAAACTCTGACGAGAAACCCAGCACTTTGCACTTTGGTTCATTTGTACCACAATCCAAGACAACCATACACTGCTGAATTTCACCTTTGGGAAGGAAATGGCCTTGTCTTCTTTTTATCCCAAGCTGGCTTTTCAGAATATTTTTGTAATTTGCTCTTTGGGCATGTTCTGAAATGTGGCCTGTCTCACAGCATCATCCATGGTCTCCTCACTCAGTTCTTTTCCCAGAAATTTGCAGACTTCAACACAGAACTTCTGAGATCCCCAAATAAATCAGAGTATGATAAATTATGAAAATTATAAGAAGAAAGACATACAAATGGCACAGTGAAATGTCATCATCAGAGTAAAAAATGTAGGTGCTGGCTTAAAATACAGAGTTGCACGGTTAGAAGTGACTTCCTGTCAAGGTATATTCATCTTTCATTTGTCTACAGTTACAGTGTTCATTTGGGTATATATATATATATATATATATATATATATTTATATTTTTTTTTTTTTTGCGGTACGCGGGCCTCCCACTGCTGCGGCCCCTCCCGCTGCGGAGCACAGGCCCCGGACGCGCAGACCCAGCGGCCACGGCCCACGGGCCCAGCCACCCCGCAGCACGCGGGACCCCCCCCCCCGGACCGGGGCACGAACCCGCGTCCCCTGCGTCGGCAGGCGGACTCCCAACCACTGTGCCACCAGGGAAGCCCTGGGTATATTTTAAAGGTGCTTATATTTCATTTTATATGTGCTCACTGCAGAAACATTTTGGGAGTAGTTGCTATTTGTCAGACACCACCACCCTGAGTAATGGCGCAAATGAACTAAGGAATAACAATGACAGAACTGCTGGAAGTTGTGTTCAAGGACCTATGGAGGACCTATGGGGAATTTCAGAGAATTTCCAACAAGAAGATAAATTTGTTCTGGGTCTTAAAGGAAAAACAGGGATTCTCTAGATAGGCAAAACTGGAGAACATAGTCTAGAGAAATGAAGTAGTATATGCAATCTGTCTTTGCATGGAAAGTGTGAGATGCCTGGTCACAGAAATGGTAGAAGTTGAGGATCCCTGGAGCTTGACGGGGACAGGAGTAGGATGGGAAACTTGGGAGATGTGGCTGGAGGAACTGGATGGGGCCATATTGTGAGAGCGTTGCAAAGCCAGCCAGATACTTGAATATTTTTTTTTGGTGAGTGATTTGGACTCAAAAGGAGAGTCCAGGGCAGACTTTAACCAAAGCTAGCTAAAAGTATTCAGCAGGTCAAAGCCAACAGTTCTTGTCTTCATTGCAATCTTTCTTTTCTTTCCTGCTGAGAGATCTCTGGTGGTGTTCTGGCAATAGTGTCTAGCTCAATAAT